GGGAGGGAGGGAAGGTGACTCTTGATCACTACCACTCTAGAGAGAGGGTACATGAGACATAGCTCCCAAACTGAAGGCCTTCCCATGATCCAGGGTGAGTGTGGGGAGAAGGCTGGAGAAATAACTCAGCCCGAATCCTGCCCTTCTCTCTACACACATGCAGGGACGCCTCCACCCAGGCAACGACTAGGCAGGCTGTGTCCTCTCCCTCCACAGCACTCTGGCTCCCCTGTTCTCGCTGAGAGCCAGACATCAGGCAGAGGTCTTGCTCCAGGTGAAGGCGGCACCCGGGCTGACCTGGTCCTTTCTCGACCAGCCTGAAGCACTTTCTTTCTCTTCCCCAGAATTCAGCTGAGTGCCCCATCTCTAGGGCTAGACTCCTGGTACTCCCTCCTGGGTGTCCTCGTCCTGCTTCCTCAGAACCACCCCTAGCAAGCCTTTCTTGACATCCCCGGGATGGGCAGGTATCTGTGAAGGTTAGTTTTGTCACAGCGACACAATCAGAATCACTTGTGAAGGGAGTCTGGGTGAGGACTTGTTTAGGAATCGGCCGGCCTATGAAAGTCTTCCTTCCTTCCTTCCTTCCTTCCTTCCTTCCTTCCTTCCTTCCTTCCTTCCTTCCTTCCTTCCTTCCTTCTTTCCTTTCTTCCTTCTTTTCTTTCTTTCTTTTTGTTTTCCAAGACAGGATTTCTCTTGTGAAGCAGTCCTGGCTGTCCTAGAACTCACTCTGTGGACCAGCTTGGTCTCTAACTCACAGAAATTCACCTGCCTCTGCCTCCCAAGTGCTGGGACTAAAGGCGTGCGCCGCCAACGCCTAGCAATGAGGGAATTTTCTTAATTGGCTTAATCAAAGTGGGAAGGTGCACCTGATGGAAGCGATGACTTTTCTTGGCCTGGGTCCTGGACTGAAAGGGAGAGGTGGAGCCAGCCAAGCCCCTGGTGTGAATCATTAATTTACTGTTCTCTGCTCTCGAGTGTGGAAGGGATGTTGTAATGACCCGTGCAAGACAGACAATCATGCTAATTAAACCAACTAAAAGTCATTCAATCAGCCCATGTCCAAGAGCAGGCTCCTGCCTCACAGCCTCTTGGTACTGACGCTCAGGGGTAGGACATTTTTAAAGACAAAAGAACCAAAATTAGATCAGTGTTGGGGGGGAGTGTCTGCAGAGCTTAGGGGGTTTTCTCAGACACCACGTGACGACTACTTCCGATTTACACGACCTCTTGTTATTTTAATGTTTTAGCTCAAACATCAGTTATTCTGGTTAACTCATCTGGACTATGGTCAGGGTCACAGACAGTGCCAAAAGTGTTGCCAAGGCAGATGTGGCTATTGGACATGCGGGGGCGGGAAGCTAAGGGTGTCTAGGCAGACAGAAAATAAAGCTAGGAGAAGATGGCGTCACCTTAGCCATTTCAGTGTGACTAGCCTAGCCAAGAGCCTGCTGCCTCAACCTTTCTCTTAGAGAAAGACTCATCCAACCAACACCCTCCACAGCCCGAGAGCTGGCACGCAATGTCTTTCTGATGAAAAAACGTAGACGCCTTTCGCTGACAAGCAAGTGGGCTGCTTGCTTTGTGCTTGGGTGGCCAGCTGCTTCTGCGGCTGCCTCAACCTGGGTGTCCGACTTTGCTGCCCGATTGCTTGGCTCTTTTATCCTAATACTCATGGCTTTATTCTTCTTACAGTGTCTATCTGTAAGCCACACCCTTTTTTCTAGAAGTAGGTAGGGTCCAGTCGTCTCTTGGTATCTAAAGCTGATTGGTTTCAGGACCCCCAAGGACACTAAAAACCCATGGAGGTTCAAGTCCCGTATATAAAACAGTGTAGTGCTCACATAGAGCTGGCTCAATCTCTTGTGCTCTTAAATCATCTGCAAAGCGCTACTAACGCCACACACAGTGTTATGCGGAGTTTACCATGCTGTACAGGACAGTGTCAAGGAGCAATCTGTATCTATTCTGCCCACGGGTGCAACTTTTCTGGAAACGTTTCAACCCACAGCTGGTTGATTCTATGCATATGATACATACGAAAAAGGATACAAAGGTTGCTGTTTGTTTTTGACACAGGGTCTCTCTATGTAACTGTGGCTGGCCTGGAACTTGCTCTGTAGACCAAGCTGGCCTTGAACTCACAGAGATCCATCTGCCTCTGCCTGCCGAGTGCTGGGATTAAAGGTGTGCACAGCCATGCACTGCATTATAATACAAACTCAAAAAATATTCTGGGTAGAATCTCCAGGGTGTCTGACTCTGGGGCATGCCCAGGAGAGGAAACCCCCAACGTCAGACTTGACAGCCCCATCACCCTTAGATAAGAGGATTCTGGAAGCAGCCCTTGCTCACCTTTTGGGCCTGGGCCTCACCACTGTCTTCTTCCAGTGGTAGTTTTGTTTTGCCTTATTATATTTTTTGGTTGCTTTGGGGGTTTTTGTTTGCTAGTTTGTTTTTGGTTTTGTTTTTAACCCAGCATTGGGTAGATAGGGTTGTACCTGAACCTGGATGTGAAGACCAAAGTAAGGCAAACCCCATAGGGAAGAGGCCCAAGGTGAGAAAGTCTGGGAGTTAGACTAGCCAGGTTTGTGTAGGTGTCTCCTCAGAAGGGAAAAACATTCTTCTCTGGGGGTGGGGCAAGAAGGGAGGAGGGTGAAGGGAGGAGGAAAGTATTAGGAAGCTCAGAAAACAATAGGTTCACGGGTTTCTTCCCCAGGCTGCAGTTGCCAGGGGAGAGGACTCTGGGAAAGGCCTGCAAACTGCAGGGAACTCCAGGGGTGCAAATTTCTCTCCCTCTCTCCCTCTCCTGTTTTTCCTTTTCTTTGCCTCTGCGCACGGGAGCTAAAGGTTCACACTATCACACCAGGCTCTTTCTCTTACTTTTTAAAAAAGAGGTCATTATTTATCTTTTCACTTACTTCTAAAATGTATTTTAGTTTATTCTGTGTGTGCGTGTTTTGCTTGCGTGTCTGCCCGTGTAGCACTAGCATGCAGTCCAGAAGAGGTCATCAGATCTACTGGAAATGGAGTTACAGGCGGTTGTGAGTCGCCATGTGAGTGCTAGAAATCCAATCCAGGTCCTCTGGAAGAGCAGCCAATGCTCCTAACTGCTGAGCCAGCTCTCCAGCCTCTTAAAACTTTTTATTTAGGGGGGGGGGGTGGTAACCGAACTCCAATTTCTCAGAAAGAGAAGCAAATGCTCTCAACCACAGAGCCGGCTCTCCCGCCCCCAGGCATGCAACCTGGAGTCTTCATCCAGGATGGGTGGGCTTTACAGTGATGCTGTGGTCTTGGAGTCACGCATGCTCCTCCTCGTCCATGCCCCTGTAAGTACTCAATAAGCGCATTTACCAACGAGACTAGTGGCGGTGGCCACGTTGGGGGAGCTGCAGTCAGCAATGGATTGAACGGAATACACCCCACCAGATAACACAGCTATGATGAGAGCACCCTGGAGAGCCGGAGCCCTGGGTGGACTGTCTCCAGCATGGCCCTTGCTGCTGCCCTGTTCCCCGCTGAATTTGCCACGGGTGTGATTACCATATGAACGGATCCCACTGCATCTAGTATAGCGTGATTGTTTCTTGGGAAAATCCCACTCCTCACTGGGCAATTTACTTGCAGATCATAATGAAGATGAGTTTTATGAGAGCCAACGATGATCGGTTAGATCTGTTGATTTAATGGGACTTTCGGAGTTAGCCTAAGATACAGGTGGTTAGGACAGTTAGTAAGGATGGTCAGGGACAGGACTTAGATTATCCTTCCAATTGTTCCAATGGGAGCCCCCAAAAAAAGGCACCTTCCCCTTCGTTAGATATGAGATTTGCAGAGGACGGAAAATGAGAACAAGGGAGTCTCACGCATTACAGAGCTGTGAGGTCTACCTATGGACAAACAGGTTGTTGGCTAAAGAAAGCAGTCACGTGCCTACAGCCAAGGTTAGGTCACGTAACCTATGGAATTAACCACAGGCCCTGGTGTGCACCTTGGAAAAACTAAGTGGCCCTACTGTGTGTACAGAAAAGCAGATGACCGGCTGGGCCACCTGTGTAAACTTTCTCGGGGTAGAATTAAGACTAGAAATCCGTTAGGCCTGAGCTGCAAACAGCTGCCTGCCGGAGCAAAGAGAACTGGCTTAGCCTGCTGCAAACGTCGTTAATCCGCAATAAAAGAACCATCGCTGTGGGGTGGAAATGTTATAGTGGGAAAACTCATACAAAGAAAAATGTGCCAGGCTCTGTGAGTTTGAGACCAGCCTGGTTAGTTTAACTGCTTGTGGGCTTCTAAGGAAAACATGTAATTGTGATCTTAATGTGATTTCTCCTTACGTAAAGATTTTAATTCCTTTTTTTTTTTTTTAGAAATATGTAACTTGTGGTTATGAGGTAATCTTTTCTTAGGTAGAAATTTTTGTCTTAGGTGTAATGAAAGGGATAGGGGGAAAATGTAAGGCTAAAAAACATGGCATCTGGCAGAGAGAAAAAAAAATGAAAAATTGAGCCTTGACCCTCATGGGGAAAAAAACAAACCACAGTTCCTTTTAGTCTCTCTAAGCTGCTGAAAACTGGACTCCCTGCAGCAGATGAGGGTGAAACCCTTTCTTTGATCTGTCATTGGTGCCCTCTCTGGGACGAGAAGACATTCATTCACATCTCCTCGAGCAAAGAAATCGCACAACTGTGCAACCCGGCGGGGTCTTCCTGAGTCAAAGTGGCTTCCGTGGTCCAGGCAGCCACAAAAGCAGCCCGCACTCTGCTCTCTCTGGAGAACACTCCAGGCTGGGCCCTCACCTGACGCAGCACTGACACTTTGAATGGCTGGCTTTATATTCCTGTGACAAAGACAAAGATAGGGCTGAAAACTCGGTAGGGTTTCCCTGGCCCCAGGCTGCTGAGGAACAGTTGTGAAAGAGTCTATAATTTTCTATGAGGAAGAATATTCAGGTTGGAACCCTAGGTCCCCCAGGGCCGGCCACACCATGACACCAACACCCTGGGTTCAAATCGCCCTCCTTTATTTGCGACAAGTGAGACTCCTCTTCTCCATTGAGATCTAGGCCTCGCCGGTGGGTGGCCCTGTTCGCAAATGTCCGCATACAATGGCAGCAGGGAACACTGTTCCTAACAGCTAGATCTTCACGGTCCAGCAGGAAATGTCTGTTCCCTTGGACCCTCCTTGGTATTTCCGTTTGAGCTGTCTGGGGTGGAAGACAACAAAAGAAAGTAACTAGGTGGTCAGCAAACCTCAGGTAAGACAAGAGACGGGTGACAGCTGCAGACATGAACGTGGAGCGCAGGGAGTCTCAGAGTCCCCCAGAATTCCCTCTGACCTAGGCCAGGAAGGCCCGTTTGCCCAAAGGGTTATCCAAGGGACTTAGCATGTGAGGTCTTCTGGGCCCAGGACTTTGGACCCTGGGGAAGGGACAAGAGGGACATGCTACTCTGCCCACAGCCCAGAACCTGCGTGTCTTCCGTGAGACTAAGCTGAATCACCCTTTCATCTGTTTTTAGTTCCCAGGCAAGGGGACCCGGAGTGGGGGGATCTGTAGATCCCAGCTCTCACCCTCCTAGTCCCCGCCCACCATAGCCAGGCTCAGGGGTCTGGCTGTATACTTACCTGGTAGCCGAGTACTCTGTTCCCTGAACTCTGAGTGTCCGTGTTGTGTCGTCCGGTCCAACTGGTGGATCCCAGACGATATCCTGGTAAAACCGTCCTGAGACAAAAGGCTAGGTCAGTGAGGGATGCATATGGCGAGGGAGGTGGGCATCTCGAGAGGAACCTGCCCGTGCTCGGTCACAGGCAGGCTCTGGGGCAGGTGAAGTACCGAGATCCCCATCGGTGCGGTTGGAGAAGTGTTGCGTGTCCTGCACTTGGAGCATCAGTCCCTTCTGGGGCTCGTTCATGGGCACGAGGGCAATGCCCACTCTGTCTGCGCCACTGAGCTGTAGGAGTCCCATCTTGTCCATGGTTATCTTCAAGCTGCAGAGAGATCCCAAACCCTGATCAGGAAGGAAGAGACGCCTGTGTGGGGTCTCAGCAGGGGTGGGGAGCTCAACTCTGGACCAGGAGGTCATTGTGTGGCCTTAGGCAGAGAGAGAATCCTTTAAATCTTCTCGGCTCAGTTTTGCCACTGGCAGAAGAGCACCAAGGTGAGCTTAACAATGTCCAATTCCACCGCACCGTTTATAAAAAGGGAATTATAATTCCTTCCCTCTGGTTTTAAACTTTGTTTCTCACGAATGAATTTTATACGCTTTCATGGGGGGGGATCGATAACAGTCATTGTCGGTTCGACTGGACTGAGAAGCACCTGGAGTATTAGTAAAATTCATCTCTGGATGTGTCTGAAGGGATACTTCTGGAGGTAAAATGAAGACCCATTCTGAACATGGACCACGCTGTCTCAAAACCTGGGGCTTGGGCGGGATAAAAGGGAGAAAGCTCTTTCTCGCAGGCATTCTCTGCCCTGGGCGGTTGTGCTGTGAGCTTCTCTGCTCTCCTGTCTGATGGGCTGGACCCTCTGATGTGCAAAGAGGAAATCCTGCCTCCCTTAAGATGCTCCCTGAGGTTTCCGCTCTCACAGAGGCAGTGGAGTTTCATACACCTGCGCTGGTCCCTGTTTTTATAGCGGGTGCCACGGTTTTAGATGCGTTCTAACATCTGTAGGGGAAGTCTTTTCTCATTCTGTCTCATTAAGTAGAGGAAGAACCTGCTGTTCCTCTTTATTGTTGAGATTGAAAGAAAGCCACGCCCTTTATTAAAATTAAAACCTCCTTTTTTAATGAGACAAAAGGGGAGAAATGCTGTGGGAATAATCCTTTTGTTCACTGTAAAGATTTTTGTCATTCAAATTTGTTTAATAAAAAGCTGATGCCTTTAATCCCAGCACTCGGGAGGCAGAGGCAGGCAGATCTCTGTGAGTTCGAGGCCGGGCTGGACCAACAGCCTCCAAAACAATACAGAGAAACCCTGTCTCGGAAAAAAAAAAAAAAAAAAAAAGCTGACAGGCTGGTAGTCAGGCAGGAGGTATAGGTGGGACCACCAAACCACCAAACTAAGGATGCTGGGATGAAGAAGGGCGGAGTCAGGGGAGACGCTGGAAGACACAGAGGAAGCAGGACATGTAGAAAATGAGGCAACAAGCCAGGAGCCACGTGGCAGAGGATAGGTAAGAAATATGGGTTAATTTAAAATGTAAGAGTCAGCTACTAACAAGCCTGAGCTATTAGCTGAGAATTTGCAGTTGATATTAAGTTTCTGTGTTGGTTGTTTGGGAACTGGCAATCAGGAGAGAAATATCCACCTACCAATGGTATTCCAACATGGGGCTGGAATTCCCATATAATGTCTAGCTAAAAAAAAGGAAAAAAAAAAGGATTCTAGGTGCACAGAAACAGAACCAAGAGCAGCTTCCCGGTCTCGAGTCTCTCATGGTGGCTGTGGTATAGGAACATGTCTCCTGGCTGCTGCCCGTGGGCTTGAGCCACCAGCAGCACCATGGGATAGGACAAATGGCAGGTTCCTGCCGTCTCTCATGATGGCTTCAGTACAGAAAAGCATCTCCCAGTTTAAAGGCTCATACAGGGAGAAAAAGGTTACAGACAGATACGCAGTAAATACAGATTCAGACGAGAGAGGTCCTCTGAATGGGTTATAGCGTGTTTAAAAATACACATAGGCTTGGGAGAGAGAAGAGAAAGAGTATATATAGTCTTAGATTAAAAAATAAAGTTTTGCCGGGTGTTGGTGGCGCACGCCTTTAATCCCAGCATTCGGGAGGCAGAGGCAGGTGGATCTCTGAGTTCGAGGCCAGCCTGGTCTACAGAGAGAGTTCCAGGACAGCCTCCAAAACAATACAGAGAAACCCTGTCTTGAAAAAACCAAAAGAAAATATATATATATACATATATATGTACACATATATAGTTTTAAAATAAGGTAAAGTCCTTAAAAAGGAATAGAGTAATAAAAAATGTATTAAGCCATGTAAAATGGAAAATACGCAGAGTCTTGATACTGTGTGCTATTGTGTTGTGTTTGAATTTTTTGACTGCTGCGAAAGGAGCCATAGCTGCTAAAAAGCACATTTGATCATGAAAGCTGCTAAATTAAAGCCAACCTACACTTTGTGACATTGGAAGGACTTCAGATGAGCACACTGGATTTTCTGTGTGTATGCTTCCCTGTCACATGTGACAAGGCCCTGCTAAAGGCTTGGCAAGGATGGAAACAGACGAGACCCTTTGCTTGGGAAAAGACAGGCCGTGGAATAGGCTGGGGACACAGAGGACATACTGCAAAATGTCTTCAGCCTCCTGGGACTCACCAGGCTAGAGAGCTGTCCTCAAAAAGCCTACAGTGGGACACCTATGCTTCCCAGGATCACCATCTGCCTCCACTCCCTACTAGCTTCAAACAGGCTGATGATTTAATTTCAAATGTCACTGCAATTGGGCTGGGAAACACTTAGGAGATCACAAAATATTTTTGAGCGTGTCCGTAATGGCCATTTCCAGAGAGTAATCAGCGTGACAGAGAGCAACTCAGCAGGGAAGACTGCCCCGAATACAGGTAGCAACAAGTATTAGGGTCGGGGGCCCAGACGGCACAAAAAAGAACTTCCCACCGCCATGATTTGACTCTCCATGCCCACGGATTTCCTTTCTGTGGCTCCCCCAGGTCTCTGGCTGAGTCTGGAGGAGTCTGGTGGTGATGAGTAAGGAAAAGAAGACTTGAAGGGAGCTATATGGCTTGCGAACACAGGGCTGCCTGCCTCCAAAGCTAGATTCAAGCCACACCACCATGTCCACGGCCTAGTGACCCAGGTCAGTGATGAGGTCCAGGTCCCAGGACAATGCTTCCAGAGCTGCAGGACACGAGGGAATTTACCGGGAGTACAGCCCCACTGCAGGGGACTCATAACCAACCCACCACTTCATCTGTGGCCTCCGGCCGCCTGTTACCACTAGCATCTCAGTCAGGGCAGCCTGAGAGGCCCACACACAGCTGGGACCCCACCCCCACCCCCCACCCCCGGGACTCACCCAGGTAATACAACGAACAATGTCTGCTTCCATTTGTACTCAGAGCTTTTTCGGTCCCGCCTCATCACCAAGCGTTCAGGGGTTGCATGGATATGCAGGTGAGGCTCCTGGATGTTCACCTTGATCGATGAGAACCCGCCATTCTCATAATCACCAAACACCTGAAGCCCTAAGGAGACCGGGCCAGAGAGCTCAAAGTCAATTCTGAGCAGTGGCCGGAGAGGGCGGTCTCCCTGACTACGTCCTTCTAGGGCCTGGGGGCCCCGGAAGGGCCACTCTGCTGTCCACTCCGGCAATACTCCTGCCTCAGCTTAGGCTCTTCTCCTTCTCCTTCCCCATTTTTGAGACAAGATCTCACCTAGTAGCCCAGGCTGGCCTAGGAACTCATTGCCTCGACCAGGCTGGCCTCAGACTCACAGAGAACAGCATGCCTCTGTTTCCCAAGCGCTGGGGGTCAGAGTTTCGTGCCATTACGCCCGGCTCACGACCTAGTTCTCACGATTTCTACACTCAAGCTTTGGTTTTCAGTGGACTTGGACCCTCAAATCCCGTTGACAGCCACCCCGCCAGACTTTTGATAATGGGAGTTGTGAGTCTCGCTTCAAGCGTTCGTGAGTCCCCGCGGTGTGCCTGGGTCCTGAGCTCACACGGCTGCGAGTGGGGTGGAAACTGGTTCTCAGAGGAATGAAGGAGTCGCGGCTGTCCCCGAGTAGCTCAGTGCAAACACCGCTGACTGCTCCACAGCCCCGTGTCTGCCCCGACACTACAGCCTGATAAGCGAGGCCGTCCCAGGACTAGTGAGTGGGAATCTGGCCAGCACATCTGTTGATTCAACCTTTCCCCTCCTCCGGTACTGAGACACTGGGTACCTGTGTTCTCCAGCTCTGGCTCCTCTACCTGGGACACCCTGACCCTTCTCTGGGTTCATCTGACAATCCTGGGTGACCCTGAGGAGTTCCTGGTGGAAGATGGCTGGGGGAGGGACACGTGGGTAGCTTGGGGTGGTTAGGGGTGAGTCACGTGACTGGGGTCCGCTTTCTATGTGGGTGCCCGGGATACAGCTCTTACCCTGCTCAGGGTCTTCGAACAGCTTCATGCCCTCCCTAGAATGTACATCCACGCAGAGCTGGTCCACACTGGATCCAGGAAGTGGCAGGATGATAGGAAACTGTTGGAAGTCGGCTGAAATGGCCCACACACAGTTCCTGGGTCAGCGACGGTCGGGGGGGGGGGGTGGCGGGCAAGGGGGGGGTGGGACCCTGGAAGGGGACGGATTACCTGGGTGCGGGAGGTCATCAGGAGTGGTGCTTTCTAAAAGGTAGGAAAAGCCTGGGTTCAGGTAGCTCCTTCCTGGGGAAGAGGGCATTGCGGGTAGAGTGGTGGGTGACTGCGGCTGGGGCTCCCTCTCTCTCCACTTGAACATGCAGAATGTAACAGGCTATAGACGCCCAGGGCTCCCCCGGGTTCCAGCATCTTATGCCTCAAGCTTTTTGTTTGTTTCTGGTGCTGGGGAGCAGATGCAGGGACCTGTGCAAACGGTCTATCACCGCGCCGCACCCCTAGCTCCGGTACCTTTGTCTCTTTCCTTCGTGCTCTGTGACGCAGCTTGACTTGAAACCACAGGCGCTCCCGTTGCTGAGGTGAGTGTGAGCACAGCAAGGGTCATGGAGAGAAAGGGAGAGGCAGTCAGGACGCAGGGCCTGCCGTGCACCTGCGGGGGGGGGGGGCCCTGCCCTTCCTGCCCATCAAGCTCAGGCCTATAGGGCAGGGGAGACTTCAAGATCGGTCCTGGCTGAGTCTGACTTCCCACTGGGCATGGGGAAGCAGCACAAGGGACCATAGCTGACTTTGGAAACAAACTTGGGAAGGCCTCCTTTCTCCGTCACGGGGAGCGGATCGTCAGTGAAAACAAAGGATGTGGAGAGTCCCTGCTCTGGGGAGGAAGGGCTGGCGTCCGTCCGAGAACTGGCGGGGGAAGAGGCTTCCTCAAGAAGGAAAGAGTTGGCCATGGTGGCCCAAAGAGCCCCGCAGTGAGTCCTCTTGGGCTCCAGGGTTGGCAGGAGGAGGGTAGTCTGTCAAAGCTTGTGGGACAGCAACCTAGGGGCAGAGCCAGAGCCAGGGCAGAACATGCCTGACACAAAATGCTGAGGACGAGGCAGAGGGGAGACTGCTGAGGGATGGAAAAGCCAGGGCAGCCATAGGAAACACAGGCACCCGGGCCCTGCTTCCTGGCTCTGCTGGGCCTAGGCCACCTGCTTTCTTTGCGATCGTCCTTGCCTTCTCTGTGGGTCAGGGTCACTGAGTTATGAAGAAAAGGAAGGGGGCTCACAAAAGGGTGGCGGGGCTGGCATCCTTCCCATCAAACGAGGCAGGTTGGGGTCACCGGGGGATCCATGAAGTCCGGGAAAAATGTGTTGTCTAAGTGCAGTGACACCACCATCCAGTCTGGGGTCCAGGTGGAACCTGGCTCCTAATTTTAAAACGTCGACATGAGCGGTGTTCTCACAGAGGATTCCCTGGGGTCCCAACAGCCAGGACTAGGAACCTTATGCCAGGAGTAGGGTGTAGAGAGAGCACATAGGCCCTGTTGCCCTCCCCCCCTGGAGAGCCTCCCCTAGCCAGGAGACAACAATCCGAGGAACTTCCCCCCCTAGAAGGTCAATCTTCCCCTACACTGTGCCCCTTATATTACCTGATTACTAAAACCCCCTTCTCTGGGTCAAGCAAGGTTCTAGATGGCCAGCTTCTAATTAAACACACCTGATCTTCAGTCACAGGCCTTTTGCCAGCCAAGTGAGTTAGGCTAGGCACCATCCTTCCAGAGCCAAGCGTGGAGCTCAGCCTACACCCTGCCACAATTCCACAAACCTCCCCTTTCTATCCCGTCTTCCACCGTTACCTGTTGGCTTGTGAAGTCTAGATCTTCCGGCATGAGACTTGGAAAAGTGGCCTTGAACTGGAAGACAGTAAGACTTACGTTTACTCCTTGGAGCCAGCTCTCTGGGGCTCCATCTGGATGGGGACTGTACTGAGGGTCCAAATCAAGGCCTGAGGGGTAGCCGGTATTTGAGTGAGCAAGCGACTTAGTAGGCCGGTGAGTTTGGTCAGGTAACACCAGCTCCGGGCAGCAGGGCAGAGCACGCCGGTGGAGCCTACATAGATCAGCTTTTGAGCTATTAGGCCCTTACCTCTTAAGATATCCCTTAGTCCATTATCTACACAAAGGAAAAGGAAAGGGAGGTGTTTATGGGGTGGTTTTGCCAGTTCGAAGTGCTTGTGTTTCAACTTGCTTCCCCAGCCAATCTAGGGGCCTGCGAGACCCATTCCCAGTTTCCTCCTTAGTGAGCTGGGATGGGGCTCCCTGGGTCTCGTCTGTGGATTGTAGGGGCTTGGTCACAAGGCTTCACTGATGATGAGGTCAAGACCCAGGCTCACACTCACCAGCTTCCACGGGCTTCCCAGCAACTTGGAATTGTTCTTGGCCTTCAGGTTTGGTGACCACCATGTGTGTAAGAGGAGTGACGAAATTGTATTTGAGTGACAAGTTCAGAGCTTGCGATTCAAGGGCCTTTAACTCATCACCTGATGCCGAGACCCTGTGGGTTGAGGACATAAGAGCTCAGGAGGTCCCTGGCTCTCTTGGCGGTCTCCCTCTCGCTGGCCCCTTCTTGTGAGTCCCCCTCGGGAGGATGAAGAGTCCGGGCGTAACACCTCAAGCCATACTCGGTAGATAACCCGCAGTACCTGCCCCCCCCCCCGAAAGTTTCATTGATGTCATGTGAAACCCGAGACAGTGGCCTCCGAAGGTCAGGGCCACTCACATCTGCTCCAGCTGTTGGTGTATGGTTAGCAGTGCCCAGAGTCTCTCCATGAAGTTGTGAAAGATGTACTTGGGGCTCTGGAACTCCTTCTCCTTTTGGGCCACGCTGACCTCCGTTTGGAAGGTGATGTTCTGCTTATGCTGGGAAGAGGGGAGAGTGAGGGCCTGATGTCTACAGCTGACCAGCCTTTCCGAGCTCGCCAGTAGAGCCCCGACTGGGACTGGGGCCAGGGTCAGGGCATGGAACACTGATGAGGGCTTCATTTCTTTTGAGTGTTGTGCGGGTAGGGAGGGGGTTCAGGAGTATGAGGGTCTCCCACAGGGTGAGAGGGAGGAGGGGAGAAATGTTGGCAGCTGTCCAGGCGTGGGAGCTTGGGCCAGCTGACTTTTTACAAGAAGGGAGTCAACTTCCAGGCCAGTGCGGAAGGCAGGCATCCCAAACACAATGTGGAGCAGGGATCATGGGGAGGAGGAAAAGGAGGAGAAGGGCTCCCCCCAGTGGTCAGCAGTAGAGCTTGAACTGCAACAAGCTATGCGCTCCACATTGCCCTCTGCTGGGGCTGGCCCCTGTTAGGTGACAGCAGGAAACTCCCTACTGCCTGGCTGTTTTCTTCCCGGGGAAAAGGTGGTCATGGGCTTAGTCTGGGCCAAGCTGGGAGCCTAGGAAATGGGGCCGAAAGCAAAGATGCCCCCAGCCTCTTTTATCAGAAGGACAGCTAAGAGGCCCAGTACAATCTCCTGCCTGTCCTGAAGGCACCGGCCTCTCCCTGACTCTGACCCTGAGCCTGGCTTGCCAAAGCGTTGGTACATGAAGGCCACAAGCGTGGAGTTTTCTCCACACTGTAAGGCTACTTATTTGATGTTTTCCCTTAAATGAATTTTGAATAGACGGATGCTTTCTTGGGCTCACACAAGCCTGTGATTCAGGGTTAGGGTTAGAAAGCCAAGGCCTGTCTGGGCTATTGGGCAAGTTCAAGGCCGTCCTGGGAAACTTACCAAAGTCTTGTCTCAGAATAAAAAGTAAAAAGAGGAACAGGAATACAGCTTAGTGGTAGAATATTTGCTTAGGGCCCTAGATTCAATCCCCAGCACTAAAAGAGAAGAAACGTGACCGTAAGCAGCCCCATCCCTTAAGTTTGAAGCCTGAGTCACGTTTGTGTTTACAAGGGGCCAGACAGCCTTCCGCAGTAACTCTCTGGTGCAGGCATGAGAGTTGGACACGTCTGTAAAATCAGGAGGAAACTGATACACAAGGAGTCTAAGCAATTTTCTCACTTCTCACCCACGGGAGGCGAGGTTTAAAGACAGGTTCTTTGGCCGCACAGTCTTCAGGAACAGTCCCACCACTTGGCTGTGTCTAAGGTGAGGCCCCCGGGTCCCCCCCATGCCCACTGCCATCCTCTGCCGACAAGGTGCCCTGCAGGCATGTCTGGGTTCTCTCCATTCCTACTTATCACTCAGTCTTAGCAAGACCTTCTGCTGGAGTCCTGGATTCGCGCTGTCAGGAGCGGCCCAGGCTGTCACTCCACTTGTGCACAAGCTGTCTGTCCCAGAAGGGGAAGGAGGGTTGGCCTTATTGACCGCTGCACCCCTCAACCTAAAGACTCTGGTTTATTTGTTTATTTTTTTAAATCTGTGAGATGTCAGGCTGAACCTCCAGCACCCAGGAGGGCAGAGAAGTCTGAGCAAGGTTGGGGTTCTATGAGGTGCGCTGGGCTTTGGGCCCGGAAGCAGAGGGGACCAGGTCTTGTCCTGCCTGGTCCTTGGTCCGCTCTCCTGTGAAATGGTAGTGTCTCTCTGTCTACCCATGCCCTCAAAGGCCTAGCATGAGGACAGAGGGAAGAGGCCGTTGGGAAGACGGCTATCACTGTATGCTCACAGAAGAGATGGGTGACAGCAGGGCAGACTTGAGTCGCCAGTTCCTATGTGCGCTAGGGTCTCCGGAGCGCCCTCACTGCATTGCTTTATTGGGTTTCTACCATGAACCCACGCAGCTGGGGCTGCTGTCCTTCAGGGAAACCCACGGAAGAGGGTCCTCTTGACACTCACTCAGGGCCAGTCATCTGGAACTTGGTAATGGCTGGGACTTTTGAGCCCAGTCCCCTGGCTGCAAATGAGGAGGCTGCCCAGGTGGCCCCAGCCGCGCCCTAGGCTCCAGGATGGTTTGATCACACTCACCATCTGCCCACTGACTTTGGCTGAGAGGACATCAAGACCCTGGTCCTGGAGCTTCCCCGCCACCACCATCTCCGAGCCCTTAAAGTGGTGTCGGAAGTTGTCCTGCGTGACCACCTCCACGGCGTCTTCAGGGTATTCAAAAGCCACCGACAACAGCAGCGGGTTGGCTACTTCATGGTAGAAGTCCTAAGGGGTGGCGGTCGGCGGCCGGGGGGAGGGGGAGGGGGAGTTGCGTCACAAAAGGCAGGCAAACAGGGCCTGCCTGGCTGTCCGAGTCCCGCCTTGGATAGAACTGGTACCTGGAGCTGCAGTGCAGAGTCTGAATCCTCGTAGATGCGCCGGGCCAGGCCACCGTTGTCCTGTGCCAGCTTCTCCAGGAAAGGGTAGTGGACATCAAAGCCGAAACCCAGGCAGAAGACGCTGTACTGGCCGTTGACGGCTTCTTGGACATTCCTCCGGATGCTATCGGGGTTGGTTTCCCCTAGACTCATGAATTTGGGGAGAGGAAGAGAAGGGAATCATTTGCTCCAGTGCGTCGACGTTTCTGGAACTTCAGAACCAAAGGGGTCTTGAGGATTCCCCTTCTCCCCGCCCCAGGTTTCACAGCCAGCCTGGGAAATGGTTCCAGCCTCAGTCCATGCCGAGCGGCCCCCGGAATGCCCCAGTGTCCTCACCCTCAGTGGGCTCGCCGTCCGTGAGCAGGATGACCAGGGAGACACTCCCCCCGGGCAGCAGCTCAGCCTGGTTGCTGCTGTCTAGCAGCTTCACAGCCAGGAGCATAGCGTCGTTGATGTTGGTCCCTGAAGGGCACACACTCAGGGTCGATCCCAGCCAGAGACCGCCGGGGAGCTCCCAGCCTCCCGTGACGCAGGGACACTCACCTCCGTGAGCACGGATCTTGGAAGCATACTCTGTGGCCCTTTTCAAGTTCTCTTCTGTGGCTTCCACCAGCGATGGTGTCCACTGGGTGGCTTTCCAGCTGAACTCAATGAGGTTGAACTGATCTTTGGGGCTGAGGTCATTCAAGATCTTGATTAGGGCTTCTCGAGTCTAATCAGGGGTGAGAAGACAAGGGGGGGTGTCTCAGAGGAGCTCCCAAAGGCGTGTGCGGTCCTTGAGAGCTACTTTCCTGGTTATCTCGGGCGGCGGGCTCACAGAGCCCCAGGAAGCCCCCACCCAGGATGCCGAATCAGGGTCCGGCTGCTGCTGACCTCAGCGTCTGGGAGACCTACCTGCTGGATTTTCCTGCCTGACATAGATCCGCTTTTGTCGATGACGAAGATCACATTCTTGGGCATTGTCGGGAGGTCCTCGGGGGCAAAGTGGTGCACGAAGTAGCCGTTCTCGATCTGTGACCGGAGTGAGAGCACACCCAGGTGACCAGGACACGAGCCCCGCCCCCTTCACCCCTCCCCCCCCGTTCCCATGTTCTCCTTTCTGGATCCCTCTCCAGCCAGCTCCTTAGGTTCCCCCAAGGTCCCCACCATCCTTCAAAGCTCAGCCCCTCGTTGGCAGAAGAATTCCACATCCATGTATATCCCTAGAAGTCTCCCCATAACTTCGTCCCCTCTTTTAGTATTTGAAGCAGCTTTATACTTAAAAAACATAGCGAACCCAAGGTGCTTCCAGAGGGAACGCCGGGGAAGCATGGAGCGAAAGGGGGGACACAAATGACCTACACAGCTGCTGGACTTGCACACGCGGCTGAGCTAGGAGCCTCTGGGTGGCAGTGGCAGAGGGAATCGCCACAAAGCAGTTCTTTGCAGAGAGGAACCCTTTTCTGCCTCCGGAGAGGGAAGGCGTATTCAGAGTCACCATAACTGAACTGCCTATCTTCTGTGTGAGCCAACCCCCCCCCCAGTGCAGGGTATGAAGGAGGGGCCATCAGTTTCCGTTTCTAGTCACCCGTGCTTAGACTCTGAGGTTTCACTGCTCTTGACTGGAATCCACCCACCTGAATGGAGCCCCCAGAGACAGACCGGTCCACGTCATAGCGGACAATGAAGTTCCCATCCAGGACGACGTCGTGCTCGTTTTGAGACTGCTGTTGCTGGGAGAGTGTTGGCTTGAACCGGATATGTGCCTGGAGGAACAACCAAAGCTGACCGCCGGAGGAGCGGTGAGGCCAACACCCGCTCCTGTGTGCACACTGGGGAACCAGATTCCATCCGCAGCCGTGGGCGAACATTCTAGGGGGGGGGTGTTCTGAGCTGAGAGGTGACTGCTTCCACTTGGTACGTGTGTGAGGACACACGTACATGTACGAATCCCATTTCTGGGGACATGCAAACATCTGGACTCAGTGAGATCCAGTACGAGCCAGTTATCTCCTTTTGAGGATCCCTCCTGCCAGTCTACCCTCCAAGCTTGTCCTCCATAAACCTAAGCTCCTACAAGGGCCCTCTGACCCTCTCAAGGTCTCACCGTCCTGTCTTCTTGGCCCTGGCATGGACACGGATCTCAGAAGCCTCCCCAGCTCAGGGAACTTGCAACTGTTTTGGACTATGGGAATCTAGGCCACAGTCGGCTGGACTAAAGACTGGCCCTGGGGTGTCCGCACTTGGTGGTCACAGCAGACCCACCTTGGTCTTGTTCTGTGAGGTGGTCAGGGCGTCTGCCAGCTCCTGGGTCATGAAGGTACTCTCTGTCTCCAGCAATCTGATACCCTGAGGCTCGAAGATGTGGATACACATCTGGAAGCAAGCAAGATATGGGTCACCAGGGGACCCAGGAGGTAGGCTGTGGCCTCCCCGGGAAGCTAGGCGGTAAGGACAGGCTACCTTAGCTGGGAAGGGAAACCTAGGGGGCTTCCTGGAGAGGGCGGTGCCGGGTACCTGAAGGTGCTTGACCAGCTGCTGTGGCTTCACTTTGAGGAGTAGTTCGTACGTTCCGAGTCGCCGCCTGAGCAGCTCCTGGTAGACCAGTTCGAAGGTAATCTTGGCATTAGGGGCCACGGTGACTGACACTTCAAACTGCTCTGTCTGTCTCCCAGCGGTCCTGGGGGATATGAACAAGAACCCACTGGGTCAGGTAGGGGGATGGCTGCTGGAGGGGAGCAAGAATAAAGGCCAAGGTAGGGACAGTCTCTGCACAGAGGCACCCTCCCCCCCTCCCCCCGGGCTCACTTGACGAGGCCAGCGCTCTCCCCGCGGCTCACTGCTGCACTGTACTGCTCCTGGGCTGCAGCCTTGTCTTGGACAATCCCTGGGTAAGTCACACCATCGATGACCCTAAGTAGGGAAGAGGACAGTTGAGAACGTTTTTAGGAGGGCCTTTCTAGAATTTGATGTCTAAGGCCACTGCCTTTTGTCATGTGCTTCCTGTGTAGAAGAAGGCCTCATGTACAGCACTGGGAGAGGCTTTCAGCCTCCCTGAGGCATACAGGGCATTAGCACACTTGGCTTTTACTGCAGGGGCAGGGCAGGAGGTTACAGAGGAGGCTAAACTCAGCCCGCATTCCAAGCTGCCCCGGGACTCTTGTGAACTGTTCTGAAACTCTAGAACAATACAGTGATGAGTTGTCAGCCCTGAATCTACCTCTTGTGGGGCAGAGGGTGGCACAGGGCTGAAGGCTGTGATTCTATCCTCTGCAGCTTCTCCTTCAGCCCTCCTGCTTAGGACGGATGCTGCGGGGAGCCTGGCATCTTTGGGCACCCAGTGGTGGAGGGAGACAGGCTTCTAGCTGCTGTGCTTTTTTGATTGAGGAGGAGCTGCCAGGGCCGTTTCTCCATTCCCGGACTTCCTCGTGGGGGTGACTGGGGACCAGCAAATGGACACCACTTGTTCTGGGAGTGGCGTGCGTGGGTGGAAGTGTGCAGAGAGGGGGTTGGAGGGGACCTAGCTGAGCACACAGATGGTGTAACTCGGGGTCACAGTGGGCATGAACAGGAAGCCAGGTCCCCTCTGCTGGACGGGAAGCTCACACTCGCTCCAGATGCTCTGCTGGGATTCCTGGCCAGGGCAGGGGACAGGCAGTGGAAAAGATCTGGGGGCCTAGGTTCCAGGGTCAGGAAACAGAAACTGTTCTTGTAGGTGGGGAGAAAGGGAGGAGCTCGCCCCACCCCTGCAGTTTTCCAGAAACACCCACCCTACCCTGAGCGCTTGCCCTCCTCTTCCGGAAGTGCTCCCCCTAATGGGAGCAGCCCACCTTCCATGCCTGCCTCTCCAGGAGGTTAGGGGCCAAGCATGGATTCCCCCCCAAGTTTAATAAACATTGCAAAATAGATCAGGCGGGGGTGTGCAGGAAGGCAGAGGGCAAAGGCAAGGACTCCTGCAAGCTCAGAGTCCACAGAAACCCTGGCATCTTCTGAGGAAACGGAGACCTGCCCGCCCCCTGCAGTGACGGAGAGGACCCCAGGAGTCAGGGCTTACGTTTTTCCAGCTGGAATCTGATTTTGGTGACTTCCTGGGCCTAGCTCTGGCCTAGACATACCCTAGGCTTCCCAGTGGCAAAGATTCCAAAATGCTGCGGTTCTCTGTCTGCCACCTGGCAGTGTTTAGCGAGGAGGCTGGATGACGGACAGGAGGGACAGAGATCTCACAGGGCCTGATAACGTCCCTGTACCCTGTGAGGCCAACAGGTGGGGCAGTGTCCCGAGTAACCAGCTTCTGGAGCAACACATCTCAGGCCCAGACAGATGGAGTTGCTGGGCTGCGTTGTGGATCGGAAGAGTTAGAAGCTACCTACATGGAGAAGTTGGTGATGAAGGCTTTCCTGGGTAGCTCTATTTGGAAGGTAGCTTCTTGAGCAGAGTCGGCTCTGTTGACCACCCGACTGGTAACCACAGTATGGGCAAACCGGGAAGACACCTGGGAGTCCACTGTGAGGCTGTAGATATCGATGCCATTCTGGACAAGGCAAGGGGAAGAGGGGGAGGGAGGGCTTCAAGAGTAGGCTTTGACTCTGGTCCCAGACCAAACTCCACCCATCCTCTGATACAGACACTGACCAGGCTGAACCCTGTCAAACATTTCACGTGTGAACATTTCTCTGAAGTTAGAGGCAGCTGTGGACCTCATTCCCTACAAGACAGCGCCACAGGGCCCCCGTGGGAAATAGCAAGGGGGTTAGGGTAATAGTCCAAGTCTGACAGGGTCACACTTGGGCAGAGGTGAGGGGCCTGGAGTCAGGGACCTTGTGTCCAGGCTGAGCTCTGCCTAGCAGAAGGGTAGTGAGTAAGCATTTCGATTTCTGGAAATTCTGAGCTCCATGAAAATGGGAGAACGCGCCTGCTGCTCTCCCATTAAGTCGGTCGTGGGAGCTGTGGGAATCTGCAGTGGATCAGGTCTCACTAAGGGTCAACAACCTCCTTCTTCACCCATCCCACCCGCAATGGGCCCTGTCTGTGCCAGCCACTCCACAGGGTTACCACTCGCCACGCACACGTTTAGCCACGGAGGCTGGCAGTTCCTTACGAAAGGACATGAGCACGCCCTACGCTGCTCACGGTTGGCCACCTGCCCCGGTTTAGCACAGAGGGGCAGCACAGCTCGTGTACAGGTCTACTGTCAGCTCTGCACCGTGTGTGGCTCTGAAAGCTTCCTGGGCATTGTGGGCTTGGTCTCCAGTCAGCACAGCCCTCCCAGTTGGTTATATTATCATTCTTTCAGGTGAGGAGACTGGCAGACAGAGCATACAAATGATTCCCAGGAGTCACTCGTCTGCAGCAGAAGAGCTGAGCTTGTACAGCCACATTTTGACCTACTTGGCTCTGTCAGCCTCAAGGGGCAACTGGCTAAGCTTCCCTTCATCTATAAAGGAACAAGAATAGGGTCACGACTTCTGTTAAGTGAAGGAACCCGGTAAGGATCTCTGGGTAGTGCCTGGTGAATAGTCAGCGCCATGTCTTCGCACACACACTGACCTGCACACACCCAGAGGCTTCCCAGATGTGTTTACTCATTCCCCAGCTCACCACACACACACAGGCACACTCACATACACACACACACAGGCACACACACACACACACAGAGGCTCGCACACACACAGGCACACACGCACACACAGAGGCACACACACACACGCACACACAGAGGCACACACACACACACGCACACACACACATGCACACACACAGAGGCACACACACACACACAGAGGCACACACACACGCACACACAGAGGCACACACACGCACACACAGAGGCACACACACACGCACACACAGAGGCACACACACACGCACACACAGAGGCACACACACACACACACAGAGGCTCGCGCACACACACAGGCACACACGCACACACAGAGGCACACACACACACACGCACACACAGAGGCACACACACACGCACACACAGAGGCACACACACGCACACACAGAGGCACACACACACACACGCACACACAGAGGCACACACACACACACAGAGGCACACACGCACACACAGAGGCACACACACACGCACACACAGAGGCACACACACACACAGAGGCACACACACACACACGCACACACACACATGCACACACACACAGAGGCACCTCTATGGGTACTGCTACCTTCCTGGCAGTGGTGGTCTGAAGCACGGCCAGCAGTGCGGGCAGGACCAGCACAATGCTCCACATGTGGGCAGGGGCTGGGCTCTTCATTGGTCTTCAGTTGCCTGCCAGGCTGCGTCTGAACCTGAGGGCAGGTGGGGTATAAATTGGTAACTTGCTGGGTGCCCTGCCCCTACTGGCGCAAGTTCTGGGAAATGGGGGTTTTCCAGCCAAAAATCCCAGCGGCCTCAGATAAGGAGACAAATGACCTATGTCCAGTGAACTTTGCGGACAGTGGGACATACCCTGAGGAGAGGCAGGCTCAGGTTGGAGCTGGGTATTAGCTCCCCTTCTGCAAGCTCCAAATTTCAAGGAATCACAACCTTACACAGGTCATCCTCCATGGTTTTGTAGGCCCAGAGGCACCCAACAGTGAGGCCAGTCTGCTCTTCATGAGTCTAGCCTGGGAGGAAATGGCGGCTTCACCAGGAAGACTAGGGCTGGAAGGATACCCCAGGGGGCTTCCTGGAAGAGACGGGGACCTTACTAGCCAGGTAGACATGCCTGGGGGTCCCTGGTGCCAGAGACATCAAGAGAACTAGACACTTTTTGGAGCAAAAGATGCTGGGCCCAGGAGCCTCTCTCTGCCCATCTGGTTCAAGGCTGCTGTTTGGGTCAAGCCCAGCAGACCCCCAGACAGGTCTGCAATTTGACAACAGCCAAGGGTTGTAAAGATGCGTATCCCGAGCCCAGAGCTGTGATGCTGGACAGTCTCTGCAGGAAGGTGGAACGCGTAGAGTCAGTTGCACACGGTTCCTGAAGGCTGTTTACAGTTACAGCGGTGACCTGATTTTGTCACAGCGGGATCACGGGAGTGTTACTTAAGGGCTGCTAGTGGCTTTTCTCAATATGTCCTTGATACAGTTGAAGCAAACAGTGACTAAGTGAACAAACGCTGGAGACTTGGTGAGGCTGGTGTTGATACTCTTTGGGGCGCTGGAGAGGCCTCTCCTGGGTCTGTGGACACGAAAGTGTGGCCAGCTGTGTGTGTGTGTGTGGGGGGGGTTATCACCAGCACAGCTTAGCTCAAGGCTGGTGGTGTCTGGCCCTGGGACAGGGTACCATAGACTTTGGAACAATTTCTATTGCTTCCATTAAGACCCTCCCTTTCCTTGCAAGGCCAGAGGCCACCTCTGTGCACCTGCTCGCCCTCTTGGCTCTGGACTGGGGTTACACGGGGGACACTCAGCTCTTCTGGGAAGAACGTTCTTAAGAGGTCCAATGAGCAAGCACAGGCTCTGTCCCCACAGAAGGTCTGCTCCTCTGGGACACAGGGAATAGGTCAGCCTGGAGCCAGAGCTATGCAAGACCGGGCTGGCTGGGATGTGAAAAATGCCCTGAGAAAAATGCCCAGGGCACACAAGGGGCTTCCGGGCAGCGGTGGTTCACGAGCCAGGCCCTGCTCTCAGGAGGAGCCGCTATCAGCCTGCCATCCCAGCCGGCCAGGCATTTGGCCTCCTCAATCTGACACGGCAGACACGGGACACAGTCCTGAAGAGGTCACACAAAGCTAGGAACCTGGTGTTCTCACACTCCAGACAACATGCTGGGGGCAGAGCATGGTAAGCAGCCGTCTAACACACGTGCAAGGGGAGGGGTGTTGAGGACCTTGGAAACGTCTCGGTGGCTTCTGTGGCAGGCAGAGAGCCAGGCCTCCTATGGCTGTAAGTGTCACTGTGACCCGCTTTATGGAAGAGGCATCAACTCAACTCTCCTGGTGCATATGATGGGAAACCGGAGGCTAGTTTTAAAATTTATTTTTATTTCAGAGGCCAGAAGAGGGCGACAGAGTGAAATGAGCCACCATGGGGATACTGGGACCGGGGCCAGGGTCCTCTGCAGAAACATCAAGAATTCCTAACTGTGCCCATCTCCCCAGCTCTGAAACGGAGGGTTAGAAAGAACAGAAGCGCTGGGCGTTGGTGGCGCACGCCTTTAATCCCAGCACCTGGGAGGCAGAGGCAGGCGGATCTCTGTGAGTTGGAGGTCAACCTGGTCTACAGAGTGAGTTCCAGGACAGCTGGGGCTGTTTATACCGAGAAACCCTGTCTCAGAGAGAGAGAGGGAGACAGGGAGGGAGAGAGGGAGACCGAGAGAGAGGCAGACAGACAGACAGACAGACAAAGGGAGGGAAGGAGCAGAGAGGTCTACAGTCATCAGGTCTGAACCATGTCTAAGGCTTTTTGGAGGACGTCTCAGATGCCCTGAAAGCACACACTTTATTTCCCGCCCACCGAAGAGCCCAGGAAGGACACTGGATGTGTTACATCCCACACTCCCTCTCTTTCCCAGCAGTTACTAGTCATGGCCACTGACCAGTTCCTTCCCAAGGTTGGAGCCACTCGGGCACCCTCTCTATGGACGCTTGCAAGCTGCTGGCAAGGCAGGGCTGGCTTTGTGGGGAGTCATGATGGTTCTGGGGCAGCAGGGAAAAGGCATCTTCTAGCATTTAAAAAAGAAATAAAAAAGAAAGCTCGTGGGAAAGGCTCCCATGTCCAGCTGTTTGGAGTGGCGCCGTGTGCACTGCTCAGCCAAAGACGCTCTTGGCAGGTCCCTCTTTGGGCTTCTCAAAGACAGTCTCGGTACCTGTGCGATTGCGGCTGAACACAGACGGGGCAGCTGAGCCAGCTTGCTCTGTAGACAAGAGGTAGAGGCGTGGCGTCAGGACAGCAAGGCTGCCTATGCTGGGTGCAGCCCTTTCCCATACCCAGAAACCCTCCACACCTCTCAGCTACACGGGGGACTCGTCTCCAGCCCCACCGCAAGCCCTGGAGTACTCACCGCAGTCCCGCATGACCTGGTACGTCTTAGACTTGATCGCCTGGTTCTTGGCCAGGTTCCCCCGGGCCCCCTTCAGGTCTTCTTCTTTCACAGGGGGGCGCTTTTTCTTGATGGGGGCTTCCGGGGTGCCAACCTTGGAAAGCCCAGAGTCTCACATTTCGGGTCTTGAAATGAACCCCTCCAGCTTTGGCGGGGGTTCATCTTCCCAGATCACTCAACTCAAGTCAATTCCAAGCCCACTCCTGCTGGCACACACGCCTTTGATCCCAGCAGAGGCAGGCAGATCTCTGTGAGTTCGAGGCCAGCCTGGTCTTCAAAGAGAATTCCAGGACAGGCTCCAAAACCAACAGAGAAAATCTGTCTTGGAAAACAAAAAAACCAAAACAAAACGCCACTCTTCCCCCAGCCCCTGTAAGCCCTCTTCCCTTTCCGTCCGACTTAGACATCTAACCTTGGCCCAAAGAATACCCCTGGGGGTGGTGGCCTGTTTGTCTAGCCCAATTCGGGCCTGGGAGCAGAGGGGGAAAGGATGGACTTCAAGACTGAGCAGCCCTAGGGAGTCTGGTGCTGTTTACTGGGGAGCAAAGCGTCCCATAAGGACCGCCCCCCCTTCTCCAAACCAAACACTGATACTTTCTGTTATTGTGTTTGGAAAGGGTGTGGGGTGGACAGCCATGGAGCTGGGGGAGCCGGGCTCTGCTTACCCTTCCCCTCAACCCCAGGCGCCTGTGAGGCTGACACTTTAGTCCCTGAGCCCTGCAGGCAGGTGCAGGGTTTCCCTCACTCAGCCTGGGCTGGGCTCCCAGGAGGGCCTGCCCAGAGACACACCCTGCCAGGAGAGTAGAAGGGCACAGAACTGTGACCTATAGGTACAGCTCCCTCCCCCACCCTTCCTCCAGATTACAAATGTAAACAACTGGACACATTAAGCTATTGAAGCCAGCCCAACTCACAGGCATACCAGAGCACACACGGTTCTACATAAGAACTCCCCACAAACCCAACACCTCACAAGGCCATTCGCCAGAGCCCCGGGGGGGGGGGGGACGGGGACCCAGGGTGTCTGCTCCCAGCCCAGCCTCCCGGGCTGCAGGGCTGCCGCCTGTTGGGCATGGCTTTTAGTTCAAAGCAGACACCATCCGTTAGTGTCCAGCCTTGCCCCTCCCAACTCCCTTGGCGACAGCTGGACCCCCCCCTCCTCCCCCAGCCTTCTTACCTCGGACATGGTAGATGCCCTGCAAGTTCTCTCTCTGTAGCTAACTCTGCCAGGCAGTAGCCACAAGAAGAGATCTGTGTGAAGCCCAACCCTCGGGAACTTATATAGCCTGCTTGTCCGTCCCGGGTAGTCACTCCCCTCCTTTGGAAGCTTCCAGATGATTCAGATCCACGCAGCCACTAGCTGGCGTTTATTCTCGGAGATGATGGGTGGCAGCCCTGGTGAGGGCAGACAGCTGGGGGTACCCCGTGCTTTTGGGAACAGCTGCTCACCCGCAGGTGGGAGGTGCTGGCACTGAGTCCAGAGTGCTTAAGAACGTGTGACGGTCTGGGCGGGCAGACCGCCAAGGGCCCATCCCGGTGGCACGGGCGGGAGGGGAAATCTCTGAGCCTGTTTGTCTTTCTCTCCTACCCCTGGATTCCAGTGGAGATAGCTTTTCCCATCTCGGAACACTGGCAGGGCAGAAGCTTCCTGCTGCTTGAGAGTGTTTCCTCGGGGTGAGCACGGCTGATTCTCAGTTGAGCAGCCCGCCTGCCTCTGTTCGAGGAGGAGATCCTGGGGGGGGGGCACTGTGTGACACTTGCTGATGACGTCCTGGTCCTCTACCCTACCAGACCTGGGACGAGGCGGGGTATGGGCCCAGGAGGGAGGGGACCATGCTTGCTGCTGAGGGTCTCGAGGGGGCTGCTGCCTGGGGTGGGAACCGCACAGCAGAAGCAGATCTCCTTTAGGGGAGAGGGGGCAAAGTCCACTTCAGCTTTTAAGCTGTAGGGAAAAGGGCGAGGCTCCCTTGGAAAGTCCTTCAGCATTCCTCACCTTTACATGGAAAGATCACCTTGGGAACATGAGGGGACGACCCTCAGCCCGAGCTGGGCAGTGGTAGGTGTGGGTCGGAGGTCAGTCTCTGTTAGACCTACCCACCTCAGCTCCCTCCAGTCCACACGGGACATTATTCTTACCCTGAAGGCTCCAGGTGGACGAAATCCAAACAGGTACTGACCTACGGCTATCCTAAATGTCACTGCGTGGCTGTTGTACCTCAAACTCCACCGTAGCCCCTGCTCTGGCCCTGGCTCCCGGCAGGTCAATGTGGGCACTGCCAGGTCTAGGTTGGAACAGGTGATGATCTGAGCAACACCGGTGACTCCAGAGAGAGGCCAGGCAGACCGCGCCTTGTGAGGAGTGCCCACAGCTAGCTCTGTCTAGCTCTGGCCTCAAGGGAAGGGCAAGGATACGGGATGTTATGGGATGTTCCCCTGTCCCCACAGCAGGTAAACTGGATTAGGCTCTCATCAGCAAGGAAGCCGGCTACATTATGTTTGGTTTCTTTTCTTGCAGATTTAGCCCCATAGCTGCCAGAAGGCATCAGGTTTATTAGCCTCCTGAGCTATTTCAGTTCCAGAGGGCACAACCAACGGCCACAAAAGAAATGGTTTCTTTTTTTTAAAATGTAATAAGATGTGAAACTTTATTGTAAACCAGTTTACAATATAAGTACACCGTCTTCCCTTTCATCTAAAAATTGTGTTTCTGTGACTCATGGTGCCGCTGATTAAACACCCCACTATCTGGATAGGCAGCTGAAGTGGGAATGGTTTCTTCACACAGGTCTGACTGCTAATAAATCTTATGGAAAGAAAAATTAAAAACCAAACCAGGCAGCCAACCAACCAATCCACTCACCCACTCAGAACTCAGGGTGTTCAAAGCAAGGCAGGTCCCTCACTGGAAGCTGTGTGAAACTTCGTTTAAGACAGGGGTTCTCGACCTGGGGTCGAATGACCCTTTCCCAGGGGTCACCTAAGACCATCTGAAAACATCTACATTATGATCCACAACAGTAGCAAAACTACGGTTATGGAAGCGGCAACAAAAACAGCTTTAAGGTCGGGAGTCACCACAACATGAGGAGCTGTGTTAAAGGGTGGCGGAATTAGGAAGGCTGAGAACCGCTGACTTAGGAGCTAGCTCACATCCTGCAATGTGGCTGCTGCTGGGTGTGGTATGAGGGACGGTCTGGGTCTGCCCCTCCCGGGGTCCTGGGTCACCTTTTCGACGTGGGCCCTGTGCTGTAGCCTGCGCTGCCAAAGGGAAGTTACAACTTGAACTTGAGCTTTTTTGTTGTTGTTGTTTTCCCTGTAAGTGAGGTGAACACATAGATCCTTGCTACTAGGGCGTTCACAATCTAAAGTCTGAGGCAGGGAGCTTCTGACACGCTCCGGGACTGAGGGGGGCGCAGACTCTTACCTGACGCATTTTCTGGTCCCTGCCACACAGGATCTTACTGTTCATCCTTGCCTTTATCGAAGCCCTGCCAACAGCCAAATGAAGTTCAAAACAAACAAACAAACAAAAAAACCCAGTATCTCTCCGGGTGTCAGCTCTCTCTCAGTGGTTTATCTCTGTTAGCTATGGAAGACTCATTCATCTCCCTGGCTTGAAAGCTTCTGCAGACAGCAGCTTGAATCAGATGGACAGCACACCACAGCTAAATCAGCCGTCCTTTTTTCCTTTTTCCTCCCTAGCTTGGTGACGTCTGCCAGCAGCCAGTGAAGGGTCCCACCTCGTAAGGCACCTTGGAACAAGTGATGAGGACACTCGCTCCAAGGAGGGAGGACAGCTCAGGAAGACGTCCTGACTAGAGCCTTCTACATCCACTCCAGGGAGGGGAAGCACCATGGTCATAGAAATGCCTCAGCGGCCGCTGGGGGCTCTCCTGAGGGACGCAGAAATGTGTGAGTGTGTGTGTGTGCACACACTTCCGCACAGGAGGAGGGGCAGGGGGAACACACGCCACGCCTGCACAGACGGGCTCCAGTACCAGACTTCTGTTAGGCCTCCTTCCCTGCTGAGCCAGAGTCACAGAGCAGCTCAGGGACTACAGCCCTTAGTGAAAATCGGGATGCAGAAGGAGCCTAGGCTCACTCACTCCCCGTCCCTCAGGCGCAGGGAGCGGGGAGAGCCTTAGAGATTGCCTCTGAGAGGCCTGAGCAACTTGAGTTTCCATTCTTCACGGTGGTTCCCCCACCTCTGTGTCTGGTTTGGAAACTCTAGGAGCTCAGTCTGAAGTGAGGTTCCAACCCTGAGCTCCGGAAGGATGGCAGGGGTACCCGGTGCAGCACAGGTTGTCCCTAGCACGGTGAAACAGGAGGGGATGCGACGGTGACATCAGTAGCGTCACCAGGACTGACCATGGCATCAGGAGTTCGAGTTGCACTCTTCCCACAACACTCGGTGCACCCTCACGAAAGATGGGGAGGGGAATGACCATGGCTGTAGGGTAGAAACAGGAAGAACGCGGAAAGGAAACAGGAAGAACGCAGGGCCTGACCAATCCATTTCCCAGGCCGCTGGCCTCCAGCAGCAGTCTCTCTTTTCTCAGTGGTGCTTGCACTGGAGGATGAGCCGAGAGACATCCCAGAGTTAACCCTCTGTCCAGGACAAGTGAGACTTCAAGGGGCAGAGGGCAGGCCCCAGGTATCCTAGATAAAGGCTGGGTTCACATGGACAGGCATATTTAGATCCCGGACATTAAAGCAAAACACGTTCTTACACAGGTTTAGAAGACGGATCCGAGGAGAGTCACCTCCTCTGTGCTCACTTCACCTAAGCCTACGCCCACGAAGTAGTGGGGTGTTTCTGTGCTCCTTACCACTGTGCCTGCCTGTTAGACGGACGACTCCACCCTGCTGGTTCTACAGCAGGTACAGTGCTGGGTCAGCCTGTGTCACCAGGTAAAGTGGGTGTAACACCAACGAGGAACCACAGTCTAGAAAGACCTCATCCCGCCTATACAGTGAGACTTACTTCTCACTGGTATCTGCTCTGCTCCTGCCACTTCACAACTTTGGAGGGCATGGCAACAGGCTTTTCTGGCCAGGCAGAGTTCCCCAGACAGCTGAGCAAGAGAGCGGCACCAAGGCAAAGGTTGGCTCTGCAAGCTGCTGTCCTGGAGGCAGGGGCTGGGACCGTTCTAACATTGTAATCTGGAGGCTCTGAGAGGCAGGAAACGAGCAGGAATAGCCTGGTGGCTTGCATCCTCTGCACACAAATGTCTGACTCAAGCTCCTTCCTCAGTCAACTTTAACCAAAGCCTCTGGCGCTCCAGCTGGTAATGTCCTGGCAGGGCTCGGTTCCCGCGCGCTGGAGCACAGAGGTCCATTTGGACAGAGCTGACCTCAGCACACCGGGTCTCTGACCACAGATGCAGGTTACCCGCCCCTCCCAGCAGGGTGCCTTCCCTCGTGGCTGTTACCTAACAACCTTCCCGCCTAAAATCTGACTTTTACCCACTCCTCCCCAGCTGACACCCCATGAAAGGCAAACAGATCCATTTCTTTAGGGATTAAAAAGAGTTTTAAATACAGTAGTATGAAAATATAACTTAAAAATATAAAAGTCAAACAGCATACGGAAGACTTAAAAATCTGTTTGCCCGTTAGACCCATAGATACTTTGTAGGAAATAAACACATACTCAAAAAACAGTAACACTGTCACAGCTCATAAAACTGGCTTTAGAAATAAAGAGTTACAAAAGCCACTTTGAGTTAAGAAAGCATTCCTGTTCCAACTTGGGTCAACCAGCAGCTGTGAACCCCAAGCATGTCACACGTCCACGAGGCCCCGGCCTCAGCACGAGGCCCTGCAACAGTCAATGTGTGCTCTGTTTTCTTCCACCATGGCCACCTGGTCAGACAGAGGACAGGGGTGTCACAGCACCCCAAAGGGACGTCAACAAACAAACAGCTCTGCGCTTGCATATTTGGTCAGTGTTTGTAGTGCAACTGAGCGGGACCTCCAGCTGCCCACAGCCCCCTCAGGCACGGGTCCTCTCTCTTCCTTCTCTTCAGTCACCGTAGTCTGGGGCGGGTGGAGAGCGGGCAGAGACAGCGAGAGGAGTGGAGGTAGAAGAGGAGGGTGGAGAGAAGAGGGAAGGGGGCTGCTGAGGGCCAGGTCCCACGACCGTCATCCGCAGCGTGGCCGTTATCCGCAGCGTGGGAATGTGTCACACAGGCAGCCCAAAGCGGTGCTTCTTCTTCTTCACAGGCTTGTGGGGCGTCAGTCTGCGGAGGTCCTCCTCGGCGTCAGACTCCTCCATTTCATCGTCAGCCGAGATCAGGATCTGCGGCGGTGGAGAGGCAAGGCCTAAGACGCCAGCCAGCGGCAGTACCTTCTGTGCTCGCCTTCTGGGAGGCCTCAAGTCTGCCACTTCCTTGCAAGAGTGGGAGTGCCCCCTTCCAGTGAGATGGGCGTGACGCTAACCTGAGAGTCACCACCCCTCATCTGCCCTCCTCCCCACGCCTTCATCCAACTCCCAGCCAGGCCCAAATCCTATCAGGAGCAACCGGGTGCACGGAAGCTCGGGTCCTGGATCTGCCTTAAATCCAGTCTCTTTCAAAAGGAGTGAGTCATCCCAGGGACCACACAAGGCGTGCAATTGCAAACGGGCTGTCACTGCTGAAGATGAAGAGGGAGACGTGCTCGACTCATCCATGCAGCTGAGACACGGAGGACAAACGTGCTCGTTCCCTGCCACAGCTGCTCCCTCACCCCTCTGAGAACCTCGGGAAGATCACAACAGCCCTCGAGAAGGCTTAAGGCAGGGAGTGTGAACCCCCACTCCAGGAGTGGGCCAACAGCCTCACCACCCTTCCTGCAGACTGAACCACTTGACTGATCACTCCCCACCATGGCCAATGTGAATTTTACTTTATTATCAGAGGCCACACCATGTGGTTGTGAATTTACACCCCAGCAAATAAAGGAAGGTGAGGTTATCTCTGTGAGGTGTAACTAGTCCCATATTTTAGAAGCTTGTGGCCAACACTTCCCTTGTTGCTGGAGGACAGGACTCCATGGATCTCCATGCTTCCCTGGAATAAGGTGCATTTCACCTCACCTGGCTGTCTCCACGGCTAGTCCACAGGGGCTAACCTGACTTCATATGGCATCATGTGACGGCATTGGGTTCTGGCTGGCTGGATAAGGCTGAGTGACCTGGGCTAGTCCTCAGTTCAGCTTTTCCTTCCCTCTGACTAGCGCTGTGAATCAGCATTCAGGAGATGAGACGCACATGGAGACCCGAGACCCCCAGGGCCCAAGGAACAATGGCTAGGCCCTTGGGGAGGGTCAAGCAGGCTCCTACCTCAGACTCAGACTCCTCATGGGACGCCGCCCTGCGGTAGCGAACCTTGCTCCCATTCCTCGAGTCCTGGTTGGCTCCTCTCTCTTCCAGTTTAGCTTTCGTCTTCCCCTTTCTCATGAGGAAATTGTCTACTGCCCAGAACATGAAAGCCTGTGGGAAGAAAGTGCAGGTTACTCTGGGTAAGTCAGAGCAGAGCAGAGGGGTCCATGCCCACCCTTCAACAGAGGTAAGAAGAGCCTCACTCAGCCTGACTGTCACTCCATTTCCTTTCCTGGGCTTTTGTTATCAGAGAACAGCAGGATAATTCTTGCTGTGTTCACTTAAGGGTTTTGTTGTATTATAATAGGCAGGTAAATCCCTGGGAGTTCAAGGAAAGCCAGGGCAATGTAGAAAGACCCTGTTTCCAAAACAACACAACAAACAAACAAACAAACAAACCAGGAAGCCTGTTTTGGGCCTAGAACCCAGGCCTCTAACTACCTGCTTTGAGCCCTCGTGGGTCCTTCACAGGTGGCCACACCCTGCTGCTGCAGGAGCCCCGACTCCCTCAGACCTGTACACCCTACTGCTGCAGGAGCCCCGACTCCCTCAGACCTGTACACCCTGCTGCTGCAGGAGCCCCGACTCCCTCAGACCTGTACACCCTGCTGCTGCAGGAGCCCCGACTCCCTCAGACCTGTACACCCTGCTGCTGCAGGAGCCCCGACTCCCTCAGACCTGTACACCCTGCTGCTGCAGGAGCCCCGACTCCCTCAGACCTCTACACCCTGCTTCCTCACTTCTGGCCACTGTGCTCACGAGTTTCTCTGATGTCTGTGTTCAGCAATATCTGGAGAACAGTTGAAATGACCCTCATCTAGAAGTGACTATCACACATAGCCTGGGACATTTCTGTGAGAAGTGGCCTAGCAGGGAAGGCAAGTCATACTTCCTAGGATCCCTCATCTGAAATAGGGGACCTGGAGAGGGTACTTGAATTCTTAGGAAGGGCTCCCGCCATTTCCAAGACTGGTTATGGGATGAGAAACAGCAACTGGTTACAGACAGAAAGGTCTACTTGGGGCTTAAGGTGACTTCTGTGTCACACTCAGAGCTCTCAACAGGAACCCTTGAAGGCAGGTACATGGGGTAAAACAGGCAACAAGGCACTGACATTGACAAAGGGAAGGGTAGCAAGGGGGGTAAAACAGGCAACATGGCACTGACATTGACAAAGGGAAGGGTAACAAGCGGAGTAAAACAAGCAACAAGGCACTGACATTGACAAAGAAGGGAACTATCAGCATGACGATGGCCAGCTTCAGGTCTGGGTTTTCAATCGGATTCAACAGGGCCACCTGCAGAAGAAACAGACACAGTGAGAAGCACAGAGAGACTTGACTCCCCAAGCGTCACTGGAAACCCCTTACACTCATGTTGCAGGGACCCTGGACCTGACCACTGCTCAGAGCCACTTTGGGTCATTATCACATCAGCAGCTTTCCCCTTTTGTGGACCTGAGGTCACTGAGTCAGATCCAGTAGGGAGCAGCCTGAAGCTGGGGAGCAGCAGCAGTGGGCATGGCCTTAGGGGACGGGAGGGAGATCACTGGAGACCTGGACAATGAGGTGCGAGACCACTCTCCAGCAGAGACCCCCACACGCAGTCATCACCTTGAGCACAGCAGCTCTGAAATATTTTGGCTTATTTTCCTTAAAAAGGTAAAACTTCAACCACAGGATAAAAACAATGAAAGCCAGTATCTAAGACACATGTTCTAGAAGGCTCCTTGGTTGTTTCACATGGGAACAAGTGGCATAGGTTTATCTAGGCAGCACTGGCGTCAGAGGGCAAAGGGCAGAGCTGTGAAAACCGTGGACGCTCCCAGGTATTAACATATAGGTGGGGACAGACCTCAGAAACTGCTCGGGCACACAGTGGCTTCAGTGAACTAGCTAGCCCAGACACATGTGTCAAGGACGTTTGCCAGTTAGAGTCTGAAGACCAAGCAACACACCAGGAGGGACGTGTTCCCACTGAGCTTGCACACTTCACAGTTTAATCCAGAAAAGACGCGTGTTTACATAAAGTCCTCGGACGCCAAGTACAGGAATGACGAGTTAACGCCCTGTAAATAGCTGCTCTAGTAGACCAAATCCAGGACTCACTCGAGGAGCTAAAACAAAAACAAAATCAAGCAGGCCGGGGCCAGGGTGACTGGGATGCTGCCTGCTTAGCTTAGCTGGAGGCCGCAGAAGCACGGGTTAGGAGGAGGCAAACCTTTTTCCACTGGAGTATGAGAAGGACGATGAAGACGACGGACTTTTCAAAGATCATGATCACGATGTAAAGGGCGCACTGCCCCACCCAGGCCCCACACTGCAGAGGGTCTCCTGCAGGGACAGACAGGTGCTTAGCCACATGCGCCCAGGATCTGGGTAGGAAGACAACCCCCCAACCCCCTGCAGCTTGTACTGCTAGTGGCATCCCAGGGTTCGCACTTTGTGAGTCCCTAAAGCTCTACCACTCATCTCATTCCCAAAACAGGAGGTGCTCTGAATAAAGTCAGAGCTCCTAATTTGGACATACCAGAATGTTTTTCTTCCAAAAAATTCCAGGATAGAGTTAAGAGGCACTAAAGTTAGCAAGAGCTGACTGCAGGCTCTCTGCGTGAAGCAAGAGCACTATTATTATCTAGAGTTGATTTCCCCAGTGACTGGTGCTATCCCTCCCTTTCTCTGTCCACGATGAGACTGACACCGCAGTTATAAATACAGTACTCAACCTCTTGGTCCACCACCCATGTCTTATGCCATTACCCACCATCCCTGCTGTCCTCAGCTCTGAGAACCCCAAGCTGACATAGAGAAACTCAGATTCCAACTGAATTAACGTAAAAGAATGACAAGTTAATGCTTTCCAGGGCCTTTTCAAGGAATTAAAACAAAAACGAATGGGGGGAGGGCAACCTAATTAACCCTGGTCAGGACAAAGAAGACAGAAGCCCTCAAGACAGGGACAGCGGGAACGGGCCGGGGCCTGCAGCTGTGAGTGAGGTTTGTCTGTGAGGCTGCCAGGGCTTAAGAAACGACTGGGAAGGGCCCAACGGTCCACTGTGGGGCATCTGAGACACAAAGTACCTCTAGAATGCTTCTAAAAGGGACTCAATGAAGGGTGGAGGACCAGCCTCTCTAGAGGATGACCTAATGGCATCAGAACCTTAGGACAGGCCCCCTCAAAGTGGGAGGCTGGGTGCCAGAGCTGCGTCCTAGACGCTCAACCAGAGCAGTCTGGGCTCCACTGACCAAAACGGGAAAATTAACATTCCAGGGAGGCTGTGAGAAGAGACTCTGGTCTGGAGAGAAATCTCCAACTTCTCATTTGACTCCTGTTTCCGTAGCAACCCCAGGCATTCATGCTGCAGCCCCCAGTCCTGCCTGGGCCTGCGAGCTGAGCATAGTGGAGGCAAGTGGATGCCTTTACACGGCTGCCATGGACAGACACCGGGCTGCCGCTTCCTTTTCTGGACAACGCCAGGAGAGGGGCAGAAAGCCTGCAGAAGCACACTAACCGCTTATTCTAACGGCTTCCTGTCTGCTTCCATCCCGGGGCAGTGCACCTGACATGCGAGCTGCAGTACTCAGAAGTGCCACCCCCGGCAAAGCTGCCCATGCAGCTTCTGGTAAACCCCCTGACCTAATGGAGAAAAGCTCATCTCAACAGGAGAAGAAACGACTTAGTAGCACTGGAAAATGTCTGAATAGGGACTGGTGTGTCTGGAAGTAAGCATACATTTGTTTACTGTCACAAGAACACTCCCCTGCTCAAGGTGTACACTCATGTACACTCCATGTGCTTGGGGGCTGTGAGCAACGGGCAACAGAGGAAGGCTTTTCCTCTTCTTTCTCCGCAGTGGAGCTGGCACTGCCTTTTGTTTGGGATACTAAAACAAAAATGTTCAAAACCAAAGAGGGAAAACGCACCTGTGCCCAGCTGATACACCAGGTCACAGGTCACCGAAGCTGGGCTGAGTGCACAGTTTGCTTATTTCTGTTCCTGGTGGGTTTTTCAAATGCCCCCTGAAATTCGTCTCTACAGGACAAATACAGTTAATAAGCATGGCCATGTGTCCTGCTTTCTATTGTAATGGACAACCTTGGGACATTGGTTTGTTTTGGTAAGTTATTCCCTCAGGGTAAGTTATAGGAAGAGGGGCCAAAAAAGAGACATCTGTGCCGAGAAGCTACCGGAAGGGAACATTTAGATGGAAAGTCCATGACATACAGTGCTGCTGAACATTACCTTGTTTTCAGGGTATGAGACACTTGCTCAGCAGACCCCAGATGTCACAGGTCACTCAGAAACTGTTCAAACCAAGTTATGTTCCAAGTCCCAATATTTCTTCTAGGAACCAAGCAACTATCTACAGAGCACACATCTCTTTGTTTGCCTGAGAGTTGCGGAGCCTACATGGAGTTCCTGCCTCAATTGGACAGGAAAGTTCACAGGTGTAGAAGGCAGAACAATGGCCCTGCAAAGATGTCCGCATCCCAATCTCTGGAACCCATGGTAAGCGCTGTGACTTGGCCAAGGGGGAATTCTGGCTGTTAGTGGAAGTAAGGTTGTGATTCAGGCTCTAATGGACTATCTGGAGTGTTTGGGTGCACGCGGGGTAGTCACAGGGCCTTCAAGGTAGAAGGCCAGACCGGTAGACTACAAGAGCAACTTAGCCACTGGCTTTGAAAGCAGAGGGAGAGAGCCATGAGCTGAGGGACTCAGACTGAACTAGAGGCTGGGCAGGGCAACAGAACAACCATCCTTACTACCTACTGATACCTCCATGTTAACCTGGCAGAACTGGGCTGACTTCCAGAGGAACGACAGAGTAAATCAACGGGCTGTTACAGCAGCAACAGAAAACAACAATGATTGACACCTGCAAAGCAGCCAGTGTCAGGGGAGATAGCCTAGGAAAGGAGGCTTGGGATGGTCCTTGGCAAAGGGACATGTTCTCTGGAGACGCTCTGGCTTGAAGACTCTGGTTTCCAACAGCAGTGGCGGGAATAAGGGAATGGGGAAGAGGACAGAGCTCACACACAGCCACTGCCTTCTTCCTTTCTCTCCATCCTCAGGCAGGCACACGAAACTTGCTTCAGAGCAGGCGGTACTCTAATATGTGGTGTATCAGGACCAGACCCGACCTGTTCTCAGCCAACAGCTGAGAATCCACATTACCTCCAGCCAGCAAAGGTGCTCGTGGGCAGTGTTGATGGAGGCAGTGGAAGGTGCCAGGACTCCTGGTGCAGAGGCAAAAGCCCTCAGACACACCCCAACTGGGTAGGTATGTCACTTAGCTCCTCCAGTTGCCTGTCTTATAAACGAGAATGTTACGGCCGCTTCTGTCTGCAAGCTGAGAGCTCTATGACTTCAGTCCTGCCACACATGCTGTGTTGGGCACTATCTTAAGTCAGTGACTCATAGGCATCAAGTAAAGGTTAAGAAAAGCCCTCCCCTGAGCTCATCTTCCCTCACTGAAGACAAACAATTACTCAAGATTTCTAGAAATACCCAAGGTTCTCCACAGCCAGCTCCACCAATCATGTGTCCTTTTAAACTGTCAGAGATCTTCAGCCACCTACCAGTGAGCAGGTCTCTGGGCCCAGAGCCAGCTGTTTGGATGGCAGGACAAGGAAAGCGGAATGTGGGACAGATTTCCACCCGCAGCTCTCACGCTGGCCCTGGTGCCCTCTTGTGGTGAAATTCTACTAACACTTCCCGAAGAGACGCTCTGCACTGGCAGCTCCTATCAAGACCACCTTCAACTCTTCCTCGTGCTTACGGCCGAATCGAAAGCAGCCTCTTACTCAAGATGTAACAAGGGCGTCTTACGAGGCAGGCCAGCACCCACAAATTGCTGGTCTGAAGCCTTGTATCTGAGTGATGACCTCATGTTTGAGCCACTGGGCCATCCACATGCTGCGGGTGGGTGGGGGCAAGTCTACTGTTAGGAGAAGCAAGACAACTTGACCTCAGAAGGGATGCACACTCCAGGACCCACCATGGGAATGCTACTCTGTCAGACGGGGCAAACACTGTGTGTAGCAGAAAGGGCAGGCTCCCATCTCTCCTGTGATGGGCAGGCACGGTGAGATCTCTGGGGACCTCAGCAGAGTGAGGAGGCTGTGCAGTCCTGCAGATGGGACTGCAAACGCCTCTGGCAGAGGGGCTGGCGGTCCCTGGCTTCTGCCACCTTCTCTCCCACAATCTGAGTGTCCTGGCCTCGAAGTCCTTCCTTCCTGGCCTCAGGAAAGTGATTTCAGACCCTAAAACAAACCCCTTTGCGTTTACATAGGAAGACAGTGAACAGCTCCCAAACCTCCAGATTTCAGAACGACACAGGGTGAGTAGTCCCCAGCATGTTCTACCCAGGGTTCACGGACATTACCATATTCTCCAAAACGCAGGGATTCCCACTGCTGCCACTCCACCAAGACACTGACAGCACGTACGCCCACATAAATGAGAAGCATGCCTACAGTGGCGTCCAGAAGGAAGTTGATGAGGTACCTAGAAAGAGAGGCCATACCAGCATGGTCAGGGAGAAAAGCCACGAGGCTGGGGCCTCAGCAGCACTTATCAGGGTCTGGGATCAAGGCTAACAGACCCAGACTCTGTCTGGCCTTACGGGGCAGAGTGACACCCTTACATGTATTTATGCAAGAGGCTATGGAAGTGGTGGCTCCTGTCTCCAGGTGTCTGAAAAGGTGCTAATATAAAAAACTTGAAGAGCAAGAAAGAGAAGGACAAAGAAACTTTATACATTCCAAGTGTGTGTGCCAAGGCCAAGATTCAGTAGAAGACAGCATACTTAGAAGTAGCTAAGGAAACTCACAGGGAACCAAAACCCAATTGACAACAATAAATCCATTGAACGAATCTACTCTTTCCCTGATGGTTTGGGCCTCATGAGGTCACAGAACTGTGCCACTTCCCAGGACATTCAAGGAAAATGGCTTCCAAGACTTCCTAGACAAAGTAGACAGGGGCGCATGGCCACATGCTCACCCTTATCTGTAACCAAGTGTGCAAACAGGGTTTTTACTTTTTGTAGTGGTGATGGAACCCGGCACCTACATATGCTGGAGAAGAGCTCCACCATAGCTACGCTCCCAGACTCGACCTCTGAACATCAGTGAGCACTGTGCTGCGATGAGAAAAGGCCAGGGCACTGGAGGAAGCGGGGTGGGGAGGCACGCCCATAGCAACCACACATTCCTACAAGGTTTGTTTCCATTCTCCTGACACAGAGCCTGTTTCTCACCCAGGGAGGGCACTGTGCTTACCTGTCCTCCCTCAAGGGCCCTGTATCCAGGTCTGACTGAGCACCGCGGGGCAGGCTCCAGCTGTCTGGGTGGACTAAGTGGAAATGAGACCACTGAGGCAGGCCCTGGCCTTCTGGGTACCACATGGTCCTGAACCCCTATAGATAAGCTCAAGGGCAATGCAGGACTCCACTCCAAGGAGCTTCCAAGCGGCTAGGGCCTGAGACACTTTACGCAGACCTCGGCCCCAGCCTGGGCCTCGGGATGTGCACAACACTCACTATGGAGGCAGCAGGCTGAGCTTGGTTCCCAGGACCAGCACACTGACAGGGAGGCGGGCAGCTTGATCTTCCCTCTTACGGACACAAGAGGTCACTCTCCTCAGACCACAGTCAGAGAGAGCTGCCCCTGCTTCCAAAGCAACTTCTAGTCTGGCAGGAGGGCTCCCACTGACACATCTAAGGGTGAGGAACGCTATTCACGCCTGCATTTTCACATCTGAGACAAAGCCTGAAAAATACCAAGGACAATGGAGATATCCAGTCTTGCATCCATCCATACGCTTGTCAAATGCTTCCCGAGCCCACTGTGTGCTGTGCTTGGAAACTAAGTCCAAATTTTACACTCTGTATTCAACACAGGGGACACATTCAGGCACCAGAGATCATGGGGCCTTGGGTGCACACTGGTTTAAGTCTAGCTCCACCATCTCTGTGCTGTGTGATCTTTAAGGACTATTGGTGCCTCCAACTTGAAGTTGGAGATGGGAAGTTAAGAGTTGGGGTAAAATCTGTCTCTCAGTCTGCTACGGGAATGACCGCTCCTCCATCCAGCAACACGTACAATATCTTAACGGTTAAGGTTTCAGACACATTGCTCTGAGTATCACATGAAAAGCAGCCCACACTGACAGGTCAGAGGTCAGCACACTGAGACGCCTATGTGTTCTGTGACTGGCACAGAGCTGCTCTTGCAGGCTTGTCCTGCTCTGCTTGGGGTGGGGCGCTGGGAACTCGGGGCCACTAGGGCACCAGAAAGACAAAGGACTGAACTTGGACTGATCAGCAGAAAGCCAACACACAAGGCAGCTGTCAAAGCCCGAGAGCCAACCTGAAGCTGAGTATACGGATGCATGAAGGCACACGCAGGATCAAACTAGAGGGGGATCCAGTAGGTAAGGGATGGGTGCCTCCCCCAAGCAGCCCATATTTTCAGTTGAGGTCAGATGCAAATGCAGGACTCACAGTGAGCAGGGGTCCTCTTCAGTGAGGTCTGCTAGGTACACATTTGCAAAGTGGATGAAGAGCATCCCTATGGCTTGCTTGGAGGTATCTAAAAACCTGCACAAAACAGAACCAGCAAGGGTTACCAACCTCATAGGACAGCAGCAACCGCTTCAGAGAAAACAAACCAGGTCAGTCAGCCAGACCACGCCTCAAGATCACCCCTAGACACAGTGGAATGAGGAAACATCAAAAGACAACATGCTTAAGATGCAGAGGGCCTTAGATCTAGGTCTTCCTTACTAACTATGAGAGCAGGACTAAATGCCCAGATTTGGGAAAATCAGTGACCGAGTGAGTACAAGTAAGAATTCTCAACATGTGGGAGTACTGTCTTTTACATGCGTGACAATTGATAAGCCACTTTATTGACATGACAATGAGGTTTCTTCTGAAGGAGAGCTGAAGTTTCCTTAGGACAGGAGTAAGCTCAGTGTGGCCCCAAAGCCTGCCTGTCTCCTTCAAAATGACTTACTGTTTGGGAGTTTCGTCCTTTGAATCTATTTATGAAGCTTTACCACCACATACTGAACACACAGCTGCTACTGCAGGGTCATCCTACACAAAATGAGTATGTTTGATATTCATGTATCTACACTAAACACTTGATTTCCACCCCTGACCCAGAGTCCCAAGTCCCCTGTAACTTCCCAAGTGCCAGAGGTGGGAAAAATACTTTTTGTCCTAATACTTGGTTTTGGTCCCAGGTTCTCTCACGGAATTCCCAGTCCTTTGGACTGCCCTGGGTGATAGGAGCATCTTTCATTCTAAAAAGGTGACTAGTTCCTAGAGAGCTTTAGGATGGGGAAGGCCCTGAAAGACTAAGCCATGATTAACCCAAGATCCACCATACTCCAAGGAGACAGACTAAGTGAACGGTCAGGCAAGCCTAGTGATCTTAAAACATGGGGCCAGGAGTATTTTGGAACCAATGAGCAAACAAATTGGTACATAGGGAGGATGGTGTACTTTTTTTTTTTAAGATTTATTATGTATACAGTGTTCTGCCTGCATGTTATTCTTGTATGACAGAAGAGGGCACTAGATTTCATTACAGATGGTTGTGAACCACCCTGTGGTTGCTGAGAATTGAACTCAGGACCTCTGGAAGAACAGTGAATGCTCTTAACCACTGAGCCATCTCTCCAGCCCCAGATGGTGTATTCTTAAAGTCATAGTCACAGAACTGTGTTCAGGAGCATCCCAGATCACTGAACCTCTCCATGTAACCATTTATCTGTGTTCTTCATAATAAACCAGGAAATGTAAATACTGTTTCCTTGAGTTTTGAGTCACATCTGGTAGAGGGTATTCTAAGGATGCAGAGTATTCTCCAAATAAATTTGTATTTGCTTACACATACAGACTATAGAAGTCAAGAATGTAAACATAATCTCATAACAAGTCAAGATGAAGAAACCCACAGCAGAGGCTGTCGCGTTTGTATTGTCTTCCATCTTCCAGTACCGAAAGCAACGTTATAAATAAAAGGAGGGGTCAATAGTTATTTGAAAAAAACAGGACTGAATAGAGCATGTCTTCTAATTAACTCAAATGAGGAATTCCACATACTTTATATGATACGTAACTTCTATTCCATCCCTACCTTCCCTAACACACTCCTGTCAGTCCCCACACCAAACCCCAACACAGCAGAAAGCTTTCTGGGGGAGTCAGCACTCTGGTACATACCATATCCTCCACGGTCGTCTTTCATGCTTTGGTTCTCTGAAGCGTTTAACTGGAAGAATAGACAGACATCAGTGGTTTCTCAAACCAACAGCCAAGCACACACACAAGTTGGGTTACCAGTCTACATGTCATTTACATTGCTAAGCTAAAATCCTTTGTTAGCATGGGACAGCATATGTTGCTCAGTGAAGGTTACAGACAGTAACCTGTCAGCATGGACTCTTCAGAACTAGATAGATACTTACTAAAGCAAGACTTCTCACCGTGTGTGCAGACCTGCATTTTCCCTTGGGACAAAGCTCACTTGGGTAATGACTACAAACAAGAAAGGACGAAGCAGCTGCTTCTAACTCTAGCACACGCTCTATCTGAGGACCATCCCCCCACCTGACTGAGGTTTACTGTCTACTCCAAGCCAAACAGAGGATACAAATGTAAAGTAGCTGTCTAGGAAACGGGAGAGCTATGTGACCATACAGGATGGAGAATTCTTTCCACATGGGGCTGGAAGCAGTAGTTAGGAAACAATCAAGCCAAGTCCTCCAGGCTGAGTAAGAGCTTCCTGAAAGACCAGAGAGGAGAGAAGACGCTGGGCAGACGACAGCTTCAGGAGCTCACAGGTACAGCAACGGAGCACGGCTGTGCGTTTGGAATAACTTAATTTGTCTCACTACAGTAGAAAACAAGAACGCCTGCTGCAGGTGAACACGAATCACATTTGGGGGGAGGGTGTGTCTGAGTCAAGGGGTCTGGAGTGAATCCTGTAGGAAAGGCAGAGCCAGGGGCCTCTAAGCAAAGCTGGCTTAGGAAAGCAGCCCCGAGAACTGTGCTGACATGGACTTCCTGGGTGGAGGCCCCGAGAGAGGATGCTGGCTGTGTGCACAGCTCTAGAAGAGGTAGCATCAACCGCTCAACCTTGGCTGGCAAGGACTCACCAGGTTTGTACCTGGGCTCACTGTCTAGAACCGAAGAAATGAAGTTTCACTGCTAAGGCACCCCTGAAGCTCTTGGCAACATCCCAAAACTAAAACAATCACCGGAAGTGCTGCCTGTGTGGTATCTACCCCACACGACAATGCTAAGAGAGAGACAGACTGACTCAAGCCGTCAAAGACCCCTAATCATAACTGGTAGCCTGGGAGAACCAACTTCTGGAGAAACCCAAGCTGCCAGAGGAGCAGCAGGAGGAGGGGAGAGAGAAAACGGGGCAAAGTCAACAGACCCTGCTCTCTGGATAAACGCGGCCAGTCCACATCTGGCAGGGCAGGGCTGTCTATGCAAAGGCTGAAATGAGCCTGGAGTTTCCAGTCATGTTGATAGAGACGGGAAAGCTGGGCGAACTGTGAGGAAGCCTGCTGTGTCCTTGACACATCACAGACCCAAAGCCTCAGCAGCGCCAAAGAGCCTCAAGCGGAAACAACGGCTTTGCCGGCCTGAAACTAGTTCTTCTCCTAGAAGCAGGCCAAGTCTCACCGAGGCGCAGGGGCTCACAAGAGAAGGTCTAGAAACTTCCAGCCAGGACCAGAGCCACTTTATGCTTATCACTTCATGTCTCACCATTATTATTATTGTTTCATTTTTGTCATTGTTGTTTGTTGAGGTGTCCTGGGACGCGCTCTGTAGACCAGGTGGATTCAAATTCAGAGATCTACCTGCCTCTCCCTCCTTGATGTTGAGGTTATTAAAGGTGTGCGCCACCAGGCCCAGCTCTCTCTCCACCATTTTCAATTGGCCTGTTTAAAAAGCCGGAGAGAAAACATACTCCAGAAGAATGAGCTAATATAGTAAGCCTTATCAAAGTATTAACCACCCACATACTTTTACATTACATTCCTTCAAGTGCAAAGTATGCACTCTGTCAGTATTAATGCCAAGTGGGCGTTGGTGACGCACACCTTTAATCCTATCACTTGGGAGGCAGAGGCAGGGGGATCCCTGTGAGTTCAAGGTCAGCCTGGTCTACAGAGTGAGTTCCAGGACAGCCTCCAAAGTAATACAGAAACCCTGTCTCGAAAAAAACAAAAAAACAGAAAATAATAATGCCAATGTATTAAGATGTATAGGGATGCCACTGTAATACTGTTATAACAAAAACCTTGGAAATAGGCTGTCAATAAATATTAACAGGGCTAAGTATACATAATGGGACATCACACACACACACACACATCCTAGACACTGCTAAAAAAAGATAGATCTAGACAAAATTAATGACTTAATATGGAAACACTTTCAAGTGTTATATTAGTAAATTAATACACATATAAATGTATACATAGACATATGGACTTTTATGTAACACGTCCCATTCAGGAGGAAACAGACAGACAACACCTCACTGTGTGGAGATGAGCTCTGCAGCAGAGCAAAGGCTCTGTGACACAGAGTCTGGTCGGTTTGTGAAGGTTCCAGGTCATCCAACAGCGTAGTGAAACAGCTTTTACCCTGAAGCCGCAGCAAGAGCCACTCTCTCTTCCTGTGCTGATGGATGCGGAACAGAAGTCCACTAAGCAGCGTATTCTGAAGCGGTGATGTAGAGAGGGAGGACCACTAGACACCCTGGGTCAAAGGACAGCTGGCTCACATGCTGCCACAGGAGAAGGAGGAGAAGGAAGATCCTAGGGGCCTTGTAAACCTTGAGCTAAGGACAAAAGAGAAAGAATGGTGGGAACTCAAACTTGTCCCGCGGTTTGCATTTCATCTGAATGCTGTAGCTCAGGGACAAAGAAGCCCGGGAAGACAAGTCTTCGCTGGTAAAAAGCCAGGAGCTGCCACTACAAACAGCAAAGCCACCCACCCACCCACAACATATTCTCTGGGCAAGGCTCAGGGCAGAGAAAGCAGACAATGGCCTCAGGGTGGGCTTAGCTCCTCAGAGCCCTTCCCAGGCAAAGGGAGGAGAACCCAGCAAGTCCCAGGCCAGCAGCACTGAGGGAAGCCTTTTGTCTCACACAGGACTCCAAACTGCTTCAAGGCCATGGAGAGGTCCTAAGCAGGGTCTTGGCCCTGAAGACAGACACAGGGTCCCAAGCTTCTGAAAGAATAGTCAAGAGTCTGGGCTTCAGACACAGAGGTGGTTTTTGAATCCTGTCACTGCCTCTAATTTGCAAATTAGTGCACGTGCACAAACACACACACACACACACACACACACACGAAGAGAGGGAGGGACAGATGGAAGGTAGGAAGAAGGAGGGAGGGAGGTAGGGAGTATGCTTAAAAATGACCAACTTTGGAGTTCTTTGGGAATACCACCTCAGGTTGGGGAGGGACAGAGTACAGGGAAAGATAGTTGAACGGGGGGGGGAGACATTCAGGGGATGATGTGGAAACCTAGAGCAGTAGAAACTTTCTGGGATCTATGAGGGTGGCCCTAGTGAGGACTCCTATGATGGAGAACACAGAGCCTGAACCGTAAACTCCCAGTGGTAGGACTGAGACAACAACCCAGCCACCCCTGGAGGACCTGAAGGTCCAAGCTGAAGTCTACTGACATAGCAATCGGAGTCAATTCATTTCTCTTGGCCCCCACTTGGCCTATTTCTGGGACACAGATGGCAATGAGACATCATCAGATGCCATCTTCAGTCACTCTTTTCAAAAAGCTAAATGAGTAAATAGCCTGCTCAGAGCCATACTATGTTTTATAACAAGACTGTTTATTGTTTATTCATCTAACCCACTATCCACCCACTCATCCATCTTTCCACCTACACATCTGTCCATTTACCCACCCAGTCTTCCATCTGGCTCTCTTTTCCACTTAAAATACAATGACACATAAACTCATTGAATTTCACACTTGAGATGTGTACATTTTACTTTAGTAACTGATCCCTTTACAATTATAAACACACAAAGCCATCCCTTGCCTGTCCCGAGCATGTAGAAGGGTGGGCTCCTTCTCTAGCAAGGTCTCACATGGCAGGATCTTGTTCGCTCTTCTGATCTGACCTCACCTGCTCCGGCCACATAGGCCTCCTCTTGCAACAACACCCACATTCCGTTTTCCTGTCACCCGCACTCTGCTGCAGATCAACAAGGGGCTGGCTTCTCTCTGACCTGTACTGGGTCACAGGTCATCTTCTCAGAAGCTCTGCAGACACTCACGTCTACAGGTGTGCACCATGCCCATTCACCAGCCTCCTGTTTTATCCTATCCACTACACTCAGAAATCAGCATGCTCTCTCTCCTCCCCCTACCTCCCTCCCTCCCCCTCCCTCCCTCCCTCCCTCCCGAGTGCTGGGATTAAAGGTGTGTACCACCATCACCACCGGGCTATTTCTTTTCTCTTGTTTCTTTTGGAACTGAAGGCTGAGCCCAGGGTCACATGCACACCAGACAAGCACCCTGCCACTGAGCTATATCTGCAGCCTTGTATTTATTTTTATACTCTGACATTAAGACAAAGTTCAACTAAGTTTCAAGCTGTCCTAGAACTCGATTTGTTGCCCAGGCAGCCTTTGAAATCATGATCTTCCTACCTCAGCCTCATGAGGACGTGGGATTTCTGGTGTAAGCCAGTAGGCCTGGCTTCTCACGTGCTTTCCAGGCTTTGTCTTTTTTCGATAGCAATTCGGCTCTATGGGGTCAGGAATGTCTGCTCGTGACAGCCATATTCACCAATGGCACTTAGATGGCCTGGCTCATATCAGGTAGCTGAGTAACATTTGTTGAACAAGAGAATTTATTTAGATTGCCACCCAAGCTCCATTTCTTGAGACTGTCTGGGTATTTATTTTGATTTCAGTAAGTTCCATGAATTTTCATGACAGGTTCTTTCAGTTTAGCTGAAGAGACTAAAATTGCTTTGGTCTTAAACAGAGAAGCTGACAGTAGGTTTCCAGAGGACAATTACCCCTCAGGGCAGGGCAAGAGGGACTGAGCATCTGGCTTTAAGGGCCAGACGCAGACAACGAGGCTTTTAACTGCAAGTGCTCACAAGTAGTTTTTGGTGAGGACTTAACTTTCTCTGAATCAGATAAGATTCTAAGGTAGCCAGGTTTAGACCTCTTACACACATGCTCAGTCAAGGACTAAGAGACAAA